AAGCCACTCGTGTGGCTCACTTCTCAAGGAGGCAGCAGCAGACCACATCCCCGATCATAAAGGACCGTGCAGGGGACCACGCCCGCGAAGGTGAGTGCAGCGGGGCGGGAAACTGCAGGGACCTGAAGGTGTCCTCCTGGGCGGGAGCAGCCTTCGCCTATCAGGGCACCCATGTTCCTGCGCCCCTCTTTTCAAGGTGCCCATAATATCCATGGGGCCTCCAGGGCCAAGGTCAGACCCAGAACTCTGTCTTCAGGCACTGGGAGCCTCTGAAGATTCCGGAGCAGGGACAGGACAGTTCAGTGCCGCAGGGGCAGTGAGGCAGGGGCCAGGTGCTGGCCAGGCACTCAGCCCCACCACGTGCCCAGAGCCACCAGATCCAGCAGGCCCTACTCGGCCCCGGCCTTTGGTGACACATAAGGTAGGTCACGCCTGTTTGTCAGTTTATAGCCAATAAACGGGCCAGAGCAATGAGCGTGCGGACCAGCAAGAACACCCAGAGCCTTTTGCTGGAGGCCTCAGCCCCGCCCACCGGCCTCTCTGCTCACAGGAGAACCCCAGGGCACACTCAGGGCACCCCCGGGCCACAAGCGGGCCTCTCAGCCTGGCAGGGGCGTCCGTCCCACATGCGCACGAGGCCCCACAGGTCTTGTCGCTTCAGACCAGGAAGGTCATGGGCCTTCAACAGCCTCAGTTCTCCAACTCTGCAGCGGAAATCTGCCATCTGCCTCTTCTTGGCTCACGGGGGTGCGCCCCGAGCGGGGCCCGAGGAACCAGGAGGAGCTGCTGCCCTTGGAGACTGCTGATGTCGTGCAAACCCACGTTCAGGAACCAAGTGGCTGCACCACGGAAGCTGAGCACATGCTCCCAGAGCCCTGACCCGGAGGAAACACCGGCGGAACAGGCCGCGGCCTGGGTCCCCAGGAGCGCCTGCCCTGCCCTGGGTCACCTGTCCGCTCAGTCCCTCTGCCTTCCACAGGGGGGAGCCCCTGCTGCTGGCCAGTGCCTGCACCGGGAACAGAGCAGGGAGCCGGTCAGGAGGTTCCCCCAGACTGACCCCCACTCTGCCGGCAGAGGCTTTCACCACCTGCTGCCGCCTCTTCCCAGGACCCCGAGCCACTCAGGCCCCCAGGGCCATGCCCCCTGGCACCGCAGCCAGGCCCTGCGGCTCCCGGAGCCCGGGGAGCTGAGTGCCTCTACGGCCTCCTTTGGCAGAAGAGGAAACCGAGACCCAGGAAAGGTGGGGACCTGCCCAGATGTGGCAGCCACAACGAAGAGGCTGCCCGAGGACGGCGGCGCCCCAGAGAGAGGAGGAGCCTCCAGCACCCAGGCCCTCAGAAGTGGCCACCTGCCCACAGCCCCACCCAGGACATGGCCCCAGGACAGGCCTGACCTGCCAGCTCCCCGGGATGGAGGCCACACCCCTGGCTGGAGTGAGGGGAGCGCACGGGTGACCAGCGCCACTCCCGACACCCTGCCCAGCCTGCCGCCCCGCTGAGGCTTCCCCAGAGGGCTCTCCCTGGTCCGTGGGTCCTCACTCTTGGGAACCCCACTCTGTAGGGGCCTGGCCTCCCCCGCACTTTCTTTCTCCCCGCAGCCCCACAAGACCCCTCTCTCTCGTACGGATGGAGCCCTCCCTCCCCTTCTGCCAGAGCAAAGCCTCCTCGTCCAGGAAACCCTCCTGAACAGTCTCTTCCTTGGGCCCTTAGCGCCTCCCACCAACCAGCGCGGCCCGGGACGATGCCGCGCCCGCATGAAGACCCCGGGTCTGTCCAGCAACAGGCAAGGCCATTAGGGGACAGCTGTGGGACTGGACAGAACTGGGACCTGCCTGGTGCCTGCTTTTTACCAGAGAAGAGCCTTTCTGACCTTTGGTCACTGAGCTCTGCCACATGACGGTAACCCCTTCCTTCCCCAGCCCCTGAGTTCGGCTTCCCGTCCTGGCTCTGCTGGAACCCGGACCATGGCCCCGAGCCCCACAGCGCCAGGCTGGCTCTGCTCCTGCCAGACGTGCTGTTCTGCCAGGAAAATGCCATCCCTGACCAGCACAAGAACACACCGGTCCCCAGCCACCCTCTGGCGTCCTGAATCACTGACATCACCCCCCAGACAAGGCCGAGCCCCAGGCCCAGGCTCGGTTCTCTGGCCCCTCATCCCGACCCCACCTGACAAGCCCCCCAACTGGGCAGTGCTATGGGACCACCCCTCAGCTGAGGCCTCTGCTCAGGGGGCTGGCAGGAGTCCCAGGGTTGTGTAGCCCTGGCTCTGTTCTGGGGTGCTGCCTCCCTGCACCCAGGGCTGCCCTCCCCTCCACAGGCTTCCCCCACCCCTTGCCCACTCATGGCCACTGGATGTTCTTGCCAGCCGGTGGAGTGAGGAGCATTCCTGGGCCGCCAAGCCCTCCAGGCAGTCACGGGGCAGAGGAGCCTGTCCTCTGTGTTTGTCCAGAAGCTGCTCCCCACAAGGCAGCAGTGCCCTCCTCTGCTCAGCACCCACAGGGCCCCTGCCCCATAAGGGACACACACACAGCCTTCTCCATCATCCTGTGTCCCCCTGGATTGACATCTCTGCCTGGGAACCCCCACTCCCAGTCCCAGGACAGGGACGCACCCCACCTGGCATTTGACCTGAGGATCCTGAACCCTGGCGAAGCAGAGGGACACTGGCAAGCTGCCCAGCGGACCACCGGGTGGCCCCCTAGGCTGCTGGGTGGCACTGGGTGGAGGTGGGAGATGAGGTGGGGACCGAGGTTGAGGTATGCAGCGGGGCTCCCGTGAAGGGCCGGAGCAGACATCCGGGAGGAGGGACGGGGCCACTACGTGCTGGGAGTTAGACTCCTGTTCCACAGGTGGCCTGGGACCCAGGTGACTCGAGCGCTGCCGCTTATTAGAGCGACCCCTAATAAACACCAGCAAATTCTATCAGTGTTCCCATTTCACAGCGCAGAAAACAGAGGTCCGGAGCTTAAGTCAGCTTGTGTGTATGTGAGAGCTCCCTGTAAGTGACCAAGGGCCTGCGGAGGTCACAGCTGGTACGTCAGAGACTGGCTGGCACTGAGTCAGAGATCAGCACAGCCAATGGCTCGGCGTCCACGGGACACTCTGTTTAAAAACGGAGCAACCCCTTACTGCACGCCCAGCCCACAGACAGCGGCCCCACACCAGGGCCGGACTCCAGCCGGCCACCTCGGCCCCACGCGGGTCCACACAGCTCTCTGCCTTCCTGACAGAGGAGGTCAGAGTCACTCTGCCACCGCTTTGAATTCTGATCCAGGTTCATTCTAGGGTGAAACTCACTCCCTGATCCCCGGAAAATCTGCCCACTGACCTGGCGGAACAGATGGGCTGACGGCACCGCCTGCCGGCCGCTCTGCCTTCGGACTCCAACCCAAAGTCCTTTTAGGGCCCACGGGACAGCCCCCGGGGTTGGGAACTTGAGTCTGAACCCAGGAGGGACCCAGGTCCCAGAACAACACACACTTGGTCGCATGGTTCCTGGCCCTGCCCTGCCCAGGCGGAAGGCCGGAAGCGGGGAGCTGCCGCAAGGTACCGTCCAGAGCAGCGCCCACGGGCGGGTGGGACAGGCCAGTGAGGGAAGGAAAAGCCACACCGCAGCCGGGTGCCGGTGGGCGGGGCTGTCTGTGCGGACCCACCGGCCAGGGCGTCTTTGGGACCGGGACGCGCGGAGCGTTTCAGGCTGGCGGACGCAGCTGGGCAGAGACTTGTGCAGGACTCGGGGTCTTCCACCGGCCACCCCCAGACGAGGGGTCTACCCTGCACTGCCCACTAAAGCCTCAGGCAGCCTCGGTCTGCAGGAAACAGGGCCAGGGGCAGGGGCTCGGCTCCAGAAGGGCACGGAGGATCCAGCGGCAGGCGGGACTGTGGGAACCGCCCGGGCCGCGCCTTCCCTCTCGGAGGAGCCCACAGCCCGGGGGCCGCCCGTGAGCTCCGGGCCGGTCTCCCCAGCCCGTCCGCAGCCTGGCGGCTTCTCCGCGCGCCGCGCGCCCGCAGAGGAGGGCAGCCGTGGGGCCCAGCCTGCGGCCTGGCCCGCCCTCCGTGCCCGCCCCCGCGCCTCGGGCAAGGTCGGTGCGGCCTCGGCGGCTCCCCAGCCCTGCGGGGCCGAAAGCGCGCCTTCCCCTCCGCGGCCGCGCCTGGCGCCACGCAGGTGGGCCTGGGGCGCGCCCTGCCCTCCCTCGGCCGCGCCACAGGTGCGGCCCCGCCCTTCCGCCCACCTCCCTCCCCCCGGCCCCTCCCCACCCGGCTCCAGTGCCGCGGTGGCCTGCGGCTGGCCCTCGGGCTGGCCCGGCGCTCGCCCTCCGCGTGCGGCTTCCCCCGGCGGCTCCTCCAAGAGTCGGGCGGCGGGACCCTCGCGGAGCCCAGCGCCCGGCGGCCCGCTGGAGGAGGGGCGGCGCCCGGCCAGTCATCGTCACCGTGGACCCCCGAGTCCTGTCCGCTCCGCACACAGCGACACTCGGAGCCGGGACCCCGCCAGCCGCCCCCGCGCCAGAACCAGGCCCCGCCCGCGCCACACCCCCGACTCCCGGCCCCGCCCCCGAGGCCCCGCTCCGTCCACGCCCCCAGCCCTCATTGGTTCTCACCCCCGGACTCCGCCCCCGGCCTCGGGCCCTGCCCTCGTTCCCGTCGCCCCCAGCGCCGCACGGCTCCGCCCCCGGCCCCTGCCAGAGTTCGGACCGCCCCTCCACCCCTCGCGCTCCCGTCCCCCGCCCCTGCCGGCTCCCACGTCGCCTCCAACCCTCACGGCTCCGCCCTCAGTCCGGATTCCCGCCCGTGTTCACGTCGCCCCGCCCCCTCGCGGCCGCGCCCCCGGTCCTTGCCCGCGTTCTCGTTGCCCCCCAGCGCCGCATGGCTCCTCCCCGCACGCTGCACGTCGGTTCCGCCCCTGCTCTAGCACGCGCAAGGCCGGCGTCGCACTCTTGCGTCATCAGGCAGCGCTCGCGTGGGCGTGGCCAGGCGGCTCCCAGGCCCCGGCGCGTCGCGGACATGGCCCCCGCCGCCGCCGGCCCCGCGCAGGTCGTTCGCGCGGCGCAGAAAGACGACTACTACCGCGGCGGGCTGCGGGGCGCGGCGGGCGGCGCCCTGCACAGCTTGGCGGGTGAGCCCGGGCCTGCGGCGGGAGGGAGGGGACCCCAGCGCGCGTCTGGCGGGCGGGGGCCGCGGGGCTGGGGGCCCCGAGCGGCGGGAGAAGCGGCTTGTGGCTACGCCGCGTCCCGCTCCGGCCTCTCTGTGCCGCTCCCGGCACTTCGCAGACGCCGCCCGGTCAGTTCCGGACGTTCCCGGGTCGGCTCCGGCGGTGCGCCCCGTGTCGCGGCGGAACATGGGGGTCCGTGGGCGCGTTTAGCTCGTCTGAGGTCGCCCCCGGCCACAGCCGTCTCGCTGGGGCTCCGGGTCGCCGCCCCCCTCCCTGCGCTTGTGACCCGTCTGGGTCCGGGACGGTGGCCGGGGCGGGCCCTGCAGGGGACACGGCTGCGGGGGTGCGGGGAGGCCCTCCGGAGGCCAGGCCCGGCGGGGACGGCGAGCAGCGCGGACGTCCGCGCCGGGGGCAGACTGCGCTGTGGGACGGTCTCAGCCTGTGGAGCGGCGGCTGGACCTTGGCGGCGGGAGGAGCCACGCAGGGATTGGATCCTAACCGCCAGCCCCTCGCCCTCCTTCTCAGGTGCGAAGAGGTGGCTGGAGTGCAGGAGGGAGGTGGAGCTGCTGTCCGACGTCGCCTACTTTGGCCTCACCACGTTTGCAGGTAGCCCCGGTGGGACCCGGAGACCAGGGGCCCGGAGGTGGGGTGCGAGTGCCGCTGGCAGAGTGAGAAGCTCCTGGAGCGGCTTCCCAGTGTCCCTGGAGCTGGCCCAGACGCAGTCTCGGGAAGGAGGGGACCCTGGGGCCTTCCCCTGAAGGAGAGGCCAGGCCCTGAGCCCCAACTGGAGCCTCTGAAACTTCCAGGGTGTCACTTCTGTGCCCTCTTCTGTTCCCTTTTGTGTTCCTGGGGATCTTTGCCCTCGACTTTGCCCGGGGTGCCCATGGGACAGTTTCTCTGTAGCTGAGTTTTGTGGCTCGACGGGGGTCCTGGCACTAAGCCCTGTCGCAGGGCAGGGTCAGCAGGGCCCCAGTGGAGCGTCATCCTTCAGAAAATGCAGGGACCTGACAGCAAAATCCAGCACAGGGAGAAGGAAAAGGATGGCAGGCCCCTGCCTCAGTTTCTCAGGTGGGTCGCCCCCACACCCTCACCGGCAGGCTACCAGACCCTCGGGGAGGAGTATGTTGGCGTCATCCAGGTGGACCCGTCCCGGAGCAGAGTACCCTCCAGGTTGCGCCGTGGCGTGCTGGTGGCGCTGCACACCGTCCTGCCCTACTTGCTGGACAAGGCCCTGCTGCACCTGGAGCTTGAGCTGCAGGCCGAGGCCGACAGCCCCAGGCCCTCGCAGGGCAGCCTGGCTCTGGGCGGGCGCGGCCGGTCAGGAGCCAGGCACTGGGTGCGCCGGCACACGGCCACCCTGGCGGAACCGCAGAAGAGGACGCTCCTGCGCGTGGTGGTGGTGCTCAGGCAGGGCCTTGGCTGCCTCCAGCGGCTCCATGTTGCCTGGTTCTACATCCACGGGGCCTTCTACCACCTGGCCAAGAGGCTCACAGGGGTCACTTACGTAAGTCACCGGTGCTGTGGGGACTCGCTGGCCTCTGGCTGCTGTGTGTTCAGCTTCCGGTGGCTGGCATGGTCACAGGGCTGGAGCCAGGACCCTCTCCGGAAAAACACGGTTTTACTGCATCGCGTTTGCTGGCAGACCCTAGAAAGTCAACCCTGAGGGAGAGGCTCGTCTGCCTCCCTGCCACCAGCTCTTGCAAGACGCCGGCCCCCGGCCCCCGGCCCCCGGCCCCCGGCCCACTCCTTCGCAGCTGCCCTGCCAGAGGGTCAGGTGTCGCAGTGCCTCGTGTCACGGCCAGGACTTTCCCTGGGCTGAGCCTGCCAAGCAGTCCCACCTTTCATCCTGTTTCTGTCCTGGTGCCTTTGTTTCCGCACCCACACGGGAAGCCTCAGCTCAGGACCCTGATCGCGAGGGTCACCCCGTGTCTCGCCTCACTTGGCAGCCCTGTCCGGTCAGCCTCGGCCCCCAGCGCGCACCCCCGAGAGCCGCCGGCTCGCCGCCCCCAGCCTTAGCGAGGGTGTATGCCGCGCGGCCGTAGCGGGGGGGCCAGACACACGGCCTCGACCTGGGCAGAGAAGGTTTTGCGCTCCTGGGGTCTTCTCTGCACGGACACATGGGGCCTGCCTGGCTGGGGCGCTCCAGCTAACGGGAGGGAGAGCAGAAGTGGAGGGCAGCTACCTTTCCCTTCGGGGGTGTGGTCTGATGTTGGGTGCGTCACTAGCTGTGGCGTCACACCGTCTCCTGTCGCTGGGGGAGCCAGGTGTCCTCCAGGAGCTGCTCTGTTCACAGGACAGAGAAGCAGGTTAGCAGCCGTGCCGGCGCGGCTTTTCCTCCTGTTCCCCTAGGCTGCTGTTCTCAAGACTCCTGCTGGCACTTTTCTCTGAGCTGTGAGTCCCCCGATCCATGCCCCCCCCCCCGATCACCGCCTGCAGCCGTAGGGACTGGACTGCAGACTTGGAGCCCGGTGGCTGTCTTCCTCACCGTCACGCAGCACTCACTGTCTCCTCCAAAGTGAGGACCTGAGCTGTCCAGCAGCGGCCCCCGCCTGCGCTCAGACCTGGCGAGGTGCTCCTGCCCCCCTCACTCAGCAGAGAGACCCCGTGATCGCTCTCTGTCCCCCCTTGTGCCAGGAGGGCAGGTTTTGGCCTCCTTCGATGGGGCACTCTACTGCCGGGGGGTTGTGCCAACTGATCATGTGACTGTCCCTTGGGGTCCCTGACAGCTTTGCGCGCACTCTCCAGCTACGGAGGACCTGAGGGCTCGAGAAAGCTACAGGCTGCTAGGAGTCCTCTCCCTGCTGCACTTGGCCCTGTCCGTGGGCCTGCAGCTGTACGGCTTCCGGCAGAGGCAGCGCGCCCGGCGGGAGTGGAAGCTGCACCGTGGCCTGACTCTCCGCAGGTGTCGGGGGAGGGGGGCAAGGGGGGCTCCTAGCCCAGCTGCTGCAGCCCTGCCGGGGGGGGGGGGGGCAGCGGCAGGGGCTGAGCAGCCTTGTGTGCAGCATTGCTGCTGGGGCTCTGAGCCGGCACTGCAAGGACTCTCGTGGTGAAATCTTGGTTCCTCCCTGCCCCGCCACCAGGAGCCACACGGAAGAGAAAGCCGTTTCCAGAAACTCCACGTGTACACTGTGCCTGGAGGAGCGCAAACACTCCACAGCCACGCCCTGCGGCCACCTCTTCTGCTGGGGGTGTATCACCCAGTGGTGCGACACCAAGGTGGGTGTGCCCAGGGTCAGCAGCGGCAGTCCCAGAGCGCAGGCCTCACGGGCAGGTGCACGGGCCAGCCCAGGCGGCTGTCGGGAATCGGGAAGCCTGTCCCGGGTTTGTCTTAGGATGAACCGCAGACAGGACGTACCTGCAGTCGGGGCTCCAGTGGCGCGTCCAGAGGCATTGCCGGGAGGTGGAGACCGCAGCCGGGCCATGCGGTTCCATTCCTGGAGTCGCCCCAGTCCCCCAACCCCGCCGCTGCTCAGAAGCCCGGCTGGCCTGCACCAGCAGGACCTTCTCTAGCTGGGCAGATGGCGCCGCAACGGCCTACGTGGGTGGGAGCTCCGTTCAGGGTCGCGCCCGTGACCAGAGCAGGGGCCGCCACACCATCTCTTACAGCCGCGCCAGCGCCAGTGAGGGGTGGGGTTTCTGGGCCCCCAGCAGCCCTGCCGCCCAGGCCCGGCCCAGATTGAGCTTTCTCAGGGCTGAGGGTCGGGAGGGCCGCACAGGTGAGGTGGGTAGACGCGGAGCGGGATGTGCACCTCAGTCGCAACCTCCTGTTCTCACCTGAGGACCTTCACCTCCGGCAGTTGGCCAAGGGGCGTTCCTCAGAGCCCGTGTCCGGGGTTCACAGGGGCCACGGCCTCAGCCTGGCCGCCGTCACTTAGAAACGGCACCTGTGAATGTCTGCACCACGTGGGTCCCCCTGGGGTGTCACACTCAGCCTCCACTTTGGGGCTCCTGCTCCCCGTTTTGAGGGAATCCCCCAAGAACACACGTACCATCTCCCGTAAGCAGGTGGCCCCAGGCAGGAACGCCTAGTGGGAGATGAGTGGACCTCCCTGAGGACAAGAGGAATCCAGCCTGTCCTTAGGAGCGGGGCCCCCGGGACGGAGCCAGGCAGGACCCCACACACGCCTCTCCACATGACACTCCATAGCAGCCGGGTGGACAGACGGCCGCCTCCCTGGCTTGGCCTCTGCTCCCAGCTCCACGCCCTACTACCCCCGGGTCAAGGCCCTCCCTTCCGGTTTGTGACTTCTGAAAAAAATGCTTTTTTGAAATGGTTTTCATTTGAAGTTAAGAGAGACGCGTGCACCTCCCGTGTTACTGCAGGTGCCGGTGTGGGAGGGCCCGTGCTGGGGGCCGCGCTGGCCACAGCATCCCTGCCCTCCCTGACCCTCCTCCTTCCCCTGCAGGCGGAGTGCCCCCTCTGCAGGGAGAAATTCCCTCCCCAGAAGCTCGTCTACCTGCGGCACTACCGCTAGCCCACCCGAGGGCAGAGGCACCGGGGACTATCAGGAGAGAAACCCCGTCTACTCTCAAGGTCGCTTTTACTTGCACAGGAATTGCCTAACTCCGATTTTATTTCATGTCACGTGAGAAACTACACGAGCAGCTTTGGGACGGAAGCTGGACCTGCCTACACGGTCCAGGTCTGAGGTCTCTGTGCCCAGGGTGGGCTGGCACTTCCCCGCTCAGTCGCCCCGAGCCCACGGTGCCGGTGGCGAGCGGCAGCTGGGGCAGAGCCCGCCAGGGGGTCCGCACCCCTGCCCCCACCCCCACAGTACATCTGGGTCACTTCTTCAGGAGCTGGACTGTTGGACAAGGTTGTTTCCATCCCATCCCCAAACCATACGGTGGAAAGTTAGTTCCAGAAGTGGGACCAGCCATTCATGTGATGAGAAAAGGAGTCTGTATCCGGCGCACAGCGGACGGTTGGGGTTTGGCCCAAGGGGCAGTTGTGGGAACGGCAGACGACGGGGCTGACCCACTGGTCAGTCCGCCAGCCCCGCCGACCTGGAAACCTTGCCCTCATCGGCAGAGGTAGGCCGCTTGGTGGCTCGGGCACATCCACTCACAGGAGCGATAAGACCCCAAGGAGTCGGGTCTCCACCTGCAGCGCGTGGCTCGTGCCGTTTCATATGCGGTCAGGTCTGTGCTGTTCCAGAGGATGGAAGTCCCCATCTCGGCCGAGGTCTGTCTGCCCGGGGATCAGGGTGCACAGCCAGCCTGCAAGGGAGGTTCTCCGCCTTCTTCACACCTAGCCCACAGCTGCCTCTCCGAGCTGAGCTCTCCCTGAGGCCTGGGCAGGCTGGCTGTTCGCGCCAGGTCACTGCCGTGTCCAGCCTACTTCCTGCCACCGTTTTGTTATTTTCAGGTCTTTTAAAGTATTTAACTTGTGCCAGAGACTACTTTGCCATGAGCTTCCGTAAGAAACGAGAGCCACAGAAGCGTGGGTACATTGAGAATGTCGTCAGGGTGAACAGAAGGTCCCATTTCCTAAAGGACGAGAACCTGCGGTCAGGAAGTCCCATCCCGTGTGAGGCTGCGGCCCAGGCTTCGGGCAGAGGCCTGTGCAGACCACTCCGGGATCTGAGTGGACACGGTCATCCAGGGACGCATCGCTCCACACTCCTCGGCTGCTACGAGCTGGCCACCTGAGACAAGCCCCCGTGACCACAGGCCACACTGAGTAGGGGCCCCAGGAGAGCGGCTCCACACTTCCTGAGGGCCTTTATGGACGCCCTGTCCAAGCGCAGACAATTTCCCATCACTTAGGCCTGAGCATGTAGGAAAACGGTATGAAAAACAAGTGTCCAGAGTTTCAACATTTCAGGTACCCCAGTGTTGTATCAAAGGTACCGATTCAGGACCTCATTGAAATGCTAAGATTAAGGGGCACCTGGGTGGCTCAGGGGGTTAAGCCTCTGCCTTCGGCTCAGGTCATGATCCCGGGGTCCTGGGATTGAGTCCCACATCGGGCTCTGTGCTCAGCGGGGAGCCTGCTTCCCTTCCTGCCTCTCTGCCGGCTGTGATCTCTGTCTTCAAATAAATAAATGAAATGTTTAAAAATAAATAAATAAATGCCAAGATGAAAACGCGCAATCAGGTATGTAGAAGGTTTCCTACGGCCTCCTGGAAGTGAGAGGAGCTTGGTCTCAGATACGTAAAAATCGGCCCAAAGAGCCAGACAGCAAACGCATTCAGTGCCTACAACCCTGGGACGGAGGCGAAACTGGGCGGAGCTACGAGTCCGCAACACCTGAGACCAGGAGGCGGCCACCGCCTGCCCCTCGCTCCTGTGCCCCAGGGACCGGCCCAGCTCAGCGCCTGCCGACGGGCGGCAAGCTGTCGTGTTTCAGACAAAGACTCCACAAGAACAGGGACACGGTCTTTAATAACGTTGGAATTAAAAAGTCGCTTAGTAAAACGTTTACGAGTATTTGTTTCTATCACATCAAAAAAGTTGACAGGTGGTCAGGGTTCTGCTTTCCCGCAGAACGTGAGGAGCCACGTGTTAACACCCACAAATGGGACTACCCTTGGCAGCGTTTCTGTAAAGGGGCCACTGCGTGAGAACAACTTCAAATTAATCAAAAACAACTCTTCAGGTATCAAAGAAATGTGTCAAAATAATTCCAAACAATTAAAATAGAATATATATATTTGTAATTCCAGGCCCTCAAAAGCAATCACGGTAATTAAGAACAAAGTTTTGAATCATTATGATAGAGACCAACATGAACCGTCTCTGGTACCAGAGATGAAACTGGGAAACTGGCATTAGAACCCCCGAGTTACTGGAAATCGCCTTTCCAATGTCCTTCCAACACGCAGGAACCAGGTTAGCGTCCTCCAGCTGGGTCACGGGCCAAGGGCATCCGGGCTGGGGGCAGCTGGGCGCAACCCGGCTGCTTCTGCGCAGGTGTGTTCCAGGCCCCCCCCCACGCCCCCACCTGACTGTCCGCCCAGCCCACAGTTCACTAGAATTCTGTCCGTCTGAACACTTGAATGTCACTGAGAAATAAATCAATGCAATTTGGTTTAAATGTCAGTTTCTTCAAGAACCTGATATTTCAGTTACAGATAATTGAAGCTCCTTTTTAAAAAGAAAATTCGACTCCCTCGAAACCAAGTACTTTATGTGCAGGAAGAAGGCATTGTTAAAACGGCTCAGAACCGTCCTCGGGCCCCGGCGGTCCGGCCGGGCGTCTAGCTCGCGAACGTCTTGCCCGCGTCATCCTTCCCCTTGTACGTCCTCTTGCCGTGCGTGAACGGGATGTACCGGTACTTTATCATGTGCTGGGGACAGAGACACTCACTTTAGAGCGGCTTCACCATGAACTATGTTTCCTCCAAATCTGAATCCTGACCCTCTCCACGCACAGGGCAAGGAAACCAGGGTGCCAACCAGCTTCTAGTCCCCTCCCCACCGGTGACCCAGCAAAACCCTCCTGAGCTCACTGGAAATCCCGAAGGTCTGGGAAAGGTGTCATGACCCCTTGCATGCAGGAAGGGCTAGGGCCGGGCCGGGCTGGGGACCCCTACGACACCCCCAGAGGCGTGGGGATAATGCTGCCCTGGGAGCCATTTGAGAGTGATGTCTGCGTAACACAGGCAGGCTGGTGGGCCCTGGGCTCTGAGCCCCCAGGACGACGTGCCAGTGAGGTCAACATGGCAGAACCGAGGGCCTCGCCCACCGGGCCCCCAGGGAGCGGTCTGTGGGGGACAGCGGCACCACAGGACACATCTGTGTTGGCCACCTTGGCAGCAAGGGGCTGCGCCACGCCCCTGTGGCCCAGGGCTTCGTGGTGCTCCCAGGACAGAGCAGACCCGAGCGGGGTTCCCCGCGCCCCCCGGCGGTGCCCGCACTCACCTTTATTTGCCTCTTCATGGTGATGCAGAAAAGCATGAAGAAGTACATCACCAGGATGGGCCAGAACACCGGCACGTTGAACGCCTCAAAGAAGGTGCAGGCCATGGCCACGAGGATGCCCTTGGTCGCCGCGTGCCTTAAAGCAGGGGAGGAGGTCAGCGCGGCCAGCTGCCCGGCCACCTCGGACCACGGCAGCATCCCTGCCTGGGGCAGCAGTGGCACGGTGTTTCCTACAGAGGGCGCCACGTGGAACCACAACACGGCAGTCCCTTAGTCCCTCGAAAGCCCCCGTCACCTTCCAAAGTTAGAATATGAAATGTTCAGTGAAAACGTGAAACTGCGCAGGCCGACGCGGCGTCTCACGTCTGCCCCCGGGAATAAGCCCCAGGTGCCCGGCAGGCCCCGCCCCTGGACCGCGCGTCGCTGAGACCCTGGGCCCCCCGGGCAGCCCCCGTCGGGCTCACGGCTCTACTGAAAACGCTCCTTGGCGCTCCCGCTCCGCAAGGCCAGCTTCCTCGGAGTGACCTGCAGGGCCGGCCTGCCTGCCGTCCGCTCCCTGCCCGCAGTGCCCTCGCTCCAGCCCTGCACACCCGACGGGCGACCTGCGGAGGGCTGCCGCGTCCCACACACAGCACCAAGAACACAAAGGTGGGGCAGCCTGGGCCTTCGGCTTTTGGCTCCAACAGATACAGGACAGACGAGGTCACAGCCTCCATGGGGTGGGGGTCACCTTCATGCACGCTTCGTGCATGACAGCAGGGTCACCCGTCCACCTGTCCCACGCACCTCATGCAACATCACACAGATGTCACCGCCTCCGGGAGGCCTGGAGGACAAGCCAGTCCCATCCGAGCCCCACCCCAGCACGTCAGTGAGAGCAGGTCTTCCCAAGTCTGCGTCCGCCCCAGAAGGGCCCAGCCCTGCCTCTGTGCGGACACCCCGAGCAGGAGGGCAGGGGAGGCGGTGGGAGGAGCAGCACACAGGCCGGCCAGTCCGAGCAGGGTGGCCAGAGCCCGTGCGCGCGTCCTTTCGGAGGCCACGTCTGAACATACCCAGGACCCTCCGCCCAGAAGCAGCTTCTCTTCTGCTGGTTCCGAAGAGCCACCTGGCCCTGGGCTCGCCTACAGAGGTCCCTGTGACCTGCCTCCACGTCCCACCAAGTACTGCGACTCACATTTTGGATGAATGTTCGAAACACACACAATAAAACTCTCGTTTTTGAAGAAGTCTTTGCTGGCGAACTAGAACAAAACCCCTCTGTTCTCAGTCTTATTAGCCACACTGAGGACAAGCGTCTTTCTCAACTACCCTCAGGAATGAACTCACCAAAATTTAAACTCTGGAAGCCTCCGAATGAAGGGCCGGAACTCCTCATTCTGTTTGGTTGGTAATGAGGGGCCGTCATCTGAAAGGCAGAATCTCCGTGAGACACAGCAGGCGTCTCACCCACCTGCTCCCGTCACTCCGGCTTCTGCGCCAGCGGGCCGCACGCGTGGCACACACGTTTTTGTTACTTAACCGAACAGAACATGGGAAACCTTCAACTGATTTAGAAATCAATTCATTGCTTTAGAAGATTCAGAACAGAATTTCTTTTTTAAAAGAACTACACGTTTTAAACGATTGCATAAAATTAAAATGCAGACCAATTTCCAGACACACGTCAACTGTAGCACACAAAGGGACACGGAGAAAATGAGAACATTGACGGAAAAGGAACAGAGATGCACAAAGCTTTATCTGCCGAGAGTCCAACTCAGAACAGCTACCCCCTCCGGCACGGAGGCCCCCCACGCTGAATCCCCTAGCTGAGCCCCCGCCGAGCACCCCCAATGCTGAGCCCCCCCAATGCTGAGCCCCCCCACTTGCTGAGCCCCCCACACTGAGCGGGATTCAGCCAGACGGCCCCAGCCCTCCCCAGGCAGGCGCCCTCCCCAGCTACACACAGAATCCCAGGCCTACAGAGAAGCTCTCCTGATCATCGTCTAGTTCCCCCAAATGGCAACAAATGGGAGTTGTGTTTCCTTTCAGGTTTTCATCAAATGCTCCACAGAGAAAAACCACCGGCTTCTGGTCAGAATCTGAGCAGCCCGGGGAAGACGGCGAGTGCCCAGGAAGCACTGGGGTCACAGAGAGGAATCCACGGGCAGGCAGCTGCACCTGGGTTTTTCCCACAGTGGCAACACGTGCTGGCAGGAGGGACCAAGTCCCCAAGTCTGTACCCTACCCCCACCTACCCTTCCCCAGCTGGACAGGCAGGTGTGGACACGGCCCTCCTACCTGGCCCAGGGATGGCCAGGATCAGCTTGAGCCAAGAAATTTTCAACCCATCATCCCTGGAAACCAGGGAACGTCCCCACCCTCAGCAGGGCCCAACTGTGTGCGGTCAGAACCCCAGTGGGCACTACTGGGCACAGCACGCTGCCCACAGAAACCTCTGGGCCCCCAAGAAGGGGGCCTACCCAAGGGCACAGATAGGACTCAAGGACAGTCTTGTCCCTGCTCCCACGCATTCTGCCACGCGACCCCGGCCAATCCGGTGACCCAAGGGACCTCCACTTCCTCCTCAGCAAGCCAGGGTGGCAGGAATGTCCACCCACGACATGACAAAGTTTAAGGACTCAACCCACACCCCAGTCTGTCATCACCGACGTTCCAAGTGCACTTTAGACACCAAGAGGACAGTCTCAAAAGTTCGGATGTCCAAGGTTTCTAGAGAAAACGAGGCCGTCTGTGAAGTGCACAAGATCCCAAGCCCCGGACAGAGCCGAGCAGACGGTCTCTACCGTACCTGAGTCCTCCATCAGGGAAGGGTCCACTTTGGGAGAGAGGAAGGCTATGAAAAGATTGAGGTGGTAGATCCCCAAGGCGTAGGTCACGATGTACCAACCCTGCAAGAGAGGAGCCCCCGTCAGAGCCGCCGCCCAGCCCCCGCCCCAAGCAGCCCCCAGCGCTCCAGGAACCCTCCGCCTTGTTTGCGCTCAGCGTCAAAGCGTGCGCGACCTGCTCCCAGTCCGGAGACTGCAACGAGGCCAAAGAGGCACCGTGAGCGTGCGCGACGACAGTCCAACTCCAGGGACTGTGCGACAACGGACACGCCACGGGGCAAAGAACCACCTTCCACAAGGGGCCGCGGGGACACCCGCGCACCCGAAGCCGCCAGTTCCCCAAAGAGCTGCAGCAGGAGGATTTCCTCAGAGCCACGCGCCTGAGCCGGGCCGCCCCACAGGGCAGGTGTGGACCAGGCACCGAAGGACGCTGGCGTGGATGCCGGGCCCAGACCCTGCCTCACGGATGGCTGCCCGCACCGGCATACGGGATCCGAGCCATCCGCTGGGACACGCTGGCTCTGACGCGCGTGGTGGGCCCCTCACACCGCCACACGCTGGTCAGGGCTGTTACCGGTGTTTGCCCAGGAGAAATCCAGAACCGGATCAAGGATGAGGTTAAAAAAACTTGGAGGGACGCCTGGGGGGCTCAGTCGTTAAGCCTCTGCCTTTGGCTCAGGTCATGGTCTCAGGGTCCTGGGATCGAGCCCCACATCAGGCTCTCTGCTCAGCGGGGAGCCTGCTTCCCCCTCTCCCACTCCCCTCCCTGTGTGTGGTCTCTCTCAAAAAAATAAAATCTTTAAGACAAAAACAACAAACAACAAACACGGCGGAGCCAAAAACCCTCCTCGGAAGACACCAAGAGACGGGGTGCCGGCGCGGCACCATGGGCCCGGGGTTCGGTTCATTCTGAAAAGCATCAAGTTCAGCCTGTCAGCCTGCATCATCAATCCTAAAAGCCCAAAAACTGTGCACACAGACGAGGAAATCCTTCTGCCTCCGAACTTCCCAAGTCTGAAAACGACGGACGGGACGTGGGGGCTGAGGGGGCTTCACACCGCAGAGCCACGCCTGCGGCCACGGCAACAGCACACATGGCTCAGAGGACAACTGCGTCCCCACATCACCCGCAGCCCTCTCCCAGGTCTCCGGGTCACTCTTCCCGTCAGAGGACGGACCGAGTTCCCACTCAAACAACAATCCTGACGACAACCACGGTCAACTCCAAGTCGACGGCAGCCAGCCTGCGCCTGCCACCCGGACCCCTCCCACTCCAGAAACAAAGGGGAAAACCCACGTGCCACCAGGGCCACACCTGGACAGCGTGGAGATGGCAGGGGCTCGGCTCCCAGCCCACACCTACCTGCAGCAGGTAAACTCGAATCATGTAGACGAAGCTCAGGCCCAGCGTCACCAGCCATCGCACGGCGGTGTACGGCGTGGACTTGTCGAGCCAGGACTGATAGATCTAGAAAGACAGGGGTCACACGCTGTGGACCTCACAGCACACTTCCCGGAGCACGGGCTTTGCACGTGAAGTCAGCAACGCAAAGCAGCAACCACGAGGACCCCCAATTCCCGACACAGGCCCACCCCTGAAGCAGAATGGGTACAGAACCATCTCTCACGGCATCAGCCCGAGGGGTCGCTATGGGGCCACCTAACTTCACCCCGAGAACACGAAGAACGTGGGCACCTTACACGGGGCTCAGTCTGCGAGTCCCGCGCCTCCCGGAGCCGGCCCCAGCCCCGCCCAGCAGCCCCGGGCAGCCCCAGCCTCCGCTCTCAGGACCATCAGCAGGTGTGGCGCTCAGGCGCGGGGGGCAAGAAGCGTCGAGTTTCCAGAAGGAATCCTTGGTTTCCCCCATACAGGCGCGTGCACGTGTGCAAGCACGTGTAATTCGCAGACACGCGCTAAGTTTAATTTTCAGTTAACTTTTTCAACTCTTAATTTATGAAAAACTTCAACTGTTCATCAAAGCAAAAGTACCCGCCACCTGGCCTTCGATAATTACGAAGTTTTCCAAATGTTCTTCTGTACCTTTAAGAACACACATTTTTTTAAAATTCTAAGCCAAAACATCAGTAGGCGCAACTGCCCAATCAGACGCCCGAAATCAGCGTCTGAACGTGGCTTCAGGCACTGCTGCCCGTGCCAGGCCTCGGCACAGCCCACGGGGACGCCCGCAGGTCAGCGCAGAGCTGGGCCAGGGCCCGCGGAGGCAGTGGCCCGGAGAGAGGACGGTAAGCGCATGGCAGCGGCCACCACCACCCAGGAGCTGAGAAGCGTTTCCATGTTTTTAAAGGTTATTGGGGACAAAAAAACAACCCAAGCGTATGGCAGAGCACACGGTGGCCTCCAAGGCCTCAAGCGCTGTCTGGCCCTTTAGGGAAGGACAGAAGGCACGAGCTCGTCTGCAGCCGCGGGAACGTGGAAAGTGAGGCTGGGAGGGCGGGCGGCCGGCGCCCCGCAGGGAAACGTCCCGAGGTCAGCGGCTTCTCACTCTGTTCAACTCGTCCGCTCGTCCACCAGTCACTTCGTCAACGCACCCTCGAAAACCAACCTGTCCGAGTCTCGTGAAAAATCTGTACACCACGGAAGGTTTCCCATGGACCGAATCTCCAACACTGTCACCTTCGGACATTCTGTAACTGAGAGACAGACAAGAGACTTTAATGAAGACGCTCAGGGGCCTCGTCACTGCGCCCTAGTTTCACCAACACGACCGAGCAAGCTGCTCCGCTGCCCGCTACTTCTCTGGGTGCCTTCGCCGTGAGCCGTCCAGGAAAAAGCAGCAAGAGGGCCGCCCGCGCGGCTCGGCCGGTCAGGTACCCGCCTCGGGATTCTGGCTGAGGTCACGACGCCAGGGTGGGGAGCCGGAGCCCCACGTCGGGCTCTGCACTCAGCGGCGAATCTGCTTCCGATTCTTCCTCCCTGTGCCCCCCCCCGCCCCACGTGCTGAAACAAATAAAACTTGGAAAGGGGGGGGCGCCCCGGCGGAGAGCCAGAACGGTGTGGCACTGGGCGGACTTATGTCTCTGCGAGCGCTGCCCGGCCTGCGCGCCTCCCGCTGGTCCCCAGGAGCGGCCCTCGCTGACCATGGAGTCCTGTGGACACACTTTCCCTGGGGCTGGTCCACACCACAGGCCACTGCACCCGTGTCTCCCTCCTCCTGCCTATTCCTAGGGTTCCCCCCAGCAACCCCTCTCTCCAGGCCCAGGGCTCTGTCCAGGCTGCTCTCCAGGGCACCCGCTGTGCAAGTCCTGGCCTCCGCTCCACGAGCGCCACCCGATCCCCAGCGAGGGAGCCCAGGCCCGGGCCCCGCTGGTGGCAAGTGAAACTGAGCTGCACGCTCCAGACTATTTCAACGAGCTGCTGTGGGTCCGAGGAATTAGCTGACGAGAAGCCCCATAACCCAGGGAGCTTAATCACCCGTATCTCACTAAGGACGAGAGTCTCAAACAGTCCACGCCACTGGCCCAAGGTCAGGAGCTGCTGTGCCAGACCTCAGCCTCTCCACGTGAGCACAGACCAGACGACGGAGGTGCTGCTGAAGACGCCAGGAACGCTCAGCACTGCCTCCCACTACCTGCGGGCAGCACCTCCCCGACGAGCCCCAGGACAAGGTTGGGGCCGGGAAGCAGACGCAGACTCCAGCTCCACGTCCGTGCCCCAGGCTCCTGCGCTGTACGACTGGGCAGCCGCAGTCTCCTCACCCGGCCCTCGGCGCTCCTGGACCCAGAGCCCTCCCAAGCACACGGGACAGTGAGGCTCACAGAGGCCGCAGGGACCCCACGGGCCGCAAGGTGAACCCACACCTGCCCAGGGCCATGCTTCCCCGTCACACCCTCACGGTAAGCGCTCGGGACACCCTCTGTCCCATACGGAGTCCGCAGGCCCACAGGACCCTCAACCTCCAGGGGAAACTTTCAATTACAGCCGAGCGACTGAGACCACCTGGGCGGCCGCCCCGCGTCACGTCCACGTTCCAGGTGTAACTGACTCCGCTGGCGCCGTAGGCCGGGCAGAGGGCCAGGCGTGTCCAGGAGCGGACGGGGAAATGCCCTTTGCCCTCACGAGACGCAGGAAGAACGGATGACTGAACCGAGCTGATGACTCACGGCCCCCGGGGCCCCAGCTCCCAGGAGGTGCGTTTCCACACTCAGGTGAGAGAACCCTGTGTTTCAGGACGGGCTGGACCGGAACGCATTCCCCGGGATGGCCAGCCTCCCGGTGCAGGCCACAGCCCGGCCGGCAGAAAGCTAGAGCAGCAGGCGTCCTTGTCCTGGGGGCCCGCACAGGTCTGCTCCTACCTGCCCACAGGCCGCGTTCACCAGCAGAACACCCCGCCCCAACGGAGGCAGGGGAGGCAGTGGGAGCGCCTGGCGAGCCCTGGACGCACGCACTAGGGCCGGACGCCTGCGTCCTCCAGAGGAGCGCGCAGAACCACTGCAGACGCCCGTCCGCCGGCAGCGGCTCTCCACGTCTCAAGGAGACGGTCACAGAGACGTGAGGAAGCGCAACCTCCCTTCAGAGTCCAGTCCGGCCACTTTCGAGCAGGACGGCCAGGGCGGCCCCTCGTTCCAACCTGCGAAACGGGGTGACAGCACCTCAGCGCTCTCCTCAAAGGCTTCTCCCGGGGAGTCAGCTGTTGAGCCTGAGCCTGGCGGGGGGAGCGCACCGGCCCCGCCCCGCACAGGCCCACACGGGAGCCCCTTCCCTCTGCTCAGCTGGAAGGCGGCCTCTGCGGCGAGGCCCGGCCCGCCAGCAATCCGAGTCCGTCACCCTGTCTTTACTCCGCGACAGTCAGTCTCTGACTTTCATCCTGTTTCTACGTCGCCTGTCAGTGCGCCCCTCCCGCGGAACCTCTGGGCCCCGGCTGCCTGCTGCCCCTGAGAAGGCCCGGCCCACGGCCGGCAATCGGCAGATCACCTGTTGGGACTCCAGTTTCCTGCGGACCCGCGTACACACGGGTCAGAAGCAAAATAACACCATTCCCAGGACACACCGTCCGTGTCACGCCGGAAACCCTGCACAAAACTGTGTGCCGCGTCCTGGGCCCTGCCCCGTCTGCGCTCCCCCAGCCGCGAGCGCCGCACTTAAAGCATCGGAGCCGGCGGCCAGGCATCCGGGTCGGGCCCGCTTCGCTCCTCCTCCCACGCTCCTGCCAGGTGCGGTGCGGGGCAGGGCAGGGCCACCGGCGGCCTCCGGTGCGTCCCCTCCGCTGAAACGCCCTTCCAGACGCCACCACTCATTCTCGGCCGAACCGCCTTCCCGGGCCAGGGCTTCTCCCGCCTCGGAGCGTGACTGTCCTGGACGCCCGCGCCTGGCCGCGACCGTGGCGCCCCCGGTGACCACGGCGCCCCTGGCCGTGGAGCTGGGTCTCGCTCACGGGGACTCCAGCCGCCCTACTGAGAACTATCTTCGGGGAAACTTTGGGGCTCCCGGGCCGCCCCTCCTCTGAGGGCACGAGGGAGCGGGACCCCGAGAAGGCTCGGGGCGAGGGCGGCCGGCCATGGGCACCGTCCGACGCGAAATGGGCCCGTGGACGAGGGCTTTGCGGCCGCGCTGTGCAGGGTCTCCGGAGATCACCTTGAGCAACCCCACTCGCCGCGTCGACGCGCCCCTACCCGAGCCCCACGGACGAGCCACGGGCCCGAGGAAGGACCGACGGGGAGGAGCGGACGTCGCGCCCGAGCCGGAGGAGCGCAGCCGACCCCTCCCTGCGCGCCCGCGGGTGGGGGCGGGGGCGGTCCCTGCGCGCCCTCGGGGTTGGGGGGAGGACCCGCGACCCCAGTCTCCGCCCGGCCTAGCCCGCGCTCCCGCCCGCCCGGACACCCGCCGCCCGCCGGCACCTCGCCGCTCCCTGCGGCCGAGCGCGGTCTCCGAGGGCCGCGGGAAGGAGGACGCGGGCAGGCGGCCGCGCCGGCGCTTCGCACGGTCGGGAAGGGCCAGCCGAGCACTTCCGCTCTGTCCTGTGCGGCACCGCCTCCGGAGCCTCCAAGATGGCCGTCGGGGCGGAGCCGAGAGCCTCCAACCATTTCCGCTTCCGGTGCGGGGCGCCCGGGCCGTTGGCTGGGCGGTCCCCTCGGCGGAAGGGACGTCATGGCGGAAGCGCTCCGTGCTGCGCATGCGTAGTTGCGTCTAGGGCTCCGGGCCGGCACAACTCCATTCCAGAGATTGCTATCGCCCAGGGACTTGGCCGACGGGCCAATGGAGGAGAAGTTTGCGGTTGCTAAGGAAACCCGTAGCGGCAAAATGGCGGCTGCGGGCGGCGGGAGCCCGAGCTGCAGCCAGCCGCTCCAGGACCCGCCGAGGCGGCCGCCGCGGGACGGTAAAGGCTGCGGGCCGGGACCGGGTCTCCGTCCGCGATGCGGGGGGGAGACGGGCGCGGTCCCGGCGGCCGCCGCGCGCTCTCGACCCCAAGCCCAGCCGGCGGCCCCGGGGGAGCCCCGGCGCCCCAACCCTGGGAGGGGCGGCCCCGCGGCGGACGGGCTTCCGAGCTCGCGGAGCCGAAGAACCGTGTTGGGGTAGAGCCCGAGCCTCCCTGCGGCGGGTGCCGGAGCCCGGGGACTCGCACGCTGCCCGCGGCGCGGAGCTGGGGGAGGCGCGCCCCGCCGTCCCCCCGGGGCGCGGGTGTGGATTTTGTCCCGGGAGCGCGAGAGGCCGCGGGGAGCCGTGCCGCCCCCTCAGCCGGCCACCGTCGCCGCTCCGCACGCCGCGGCCCCCCGGGACCTGCCCCACGCGCGCGGCCCCCCGCCCCCGGGGCTCGCTGGCCGGCCCGGGACCTGCCTTACGCGTGTGCCTCCCTCCGCTTGCAGGCCGCGGCGTCTACGTGTACCCGAACCCCTTCTTCCGCTACGACGGCGAGTGGAGGGGAGGAAGGACGCACGGTGAGGAGGCGCGGCCGGCTCCTCCGCGGCCGCGCGGCCCCGCACCCGAGCCCGGGGCGCCCGCCGGCCGCGGCCCCACAGGCCCTCTCGCTGGTGCTGGGAGCGCCGGTCCCCGCAGGCTGAGAGCTCACCGGGCGGCACATGCCCGGGGCCCGAGGAGCCCGCAGCCCTCCCCGGGGCTCCGAGCACCCCGGGCAGGGGAAGCCCCGACCTAAACATCCTCCCTGGGGTTAGCTAGTCTGTCTCTGCCCAAGTGGACGTCGCCCTCTGGTTTATTTTGACGAGTAAGAGATCGCCCAGTTTCGTAGTATTCCGCGGCTACAAACGGAGACGTGCGGGGCCCGCGCGCCCCAGGCTCGCGGCGGCGGGTCCGTGGTAGCCAAGCTGTGGGACGAGCCCGGCCTCCGCCCCGGAGGACCGGAGAAGGAAGACGCGGTCCGTAGTAAGGACGATTGCTCAGCCGTCTAAAACATGAAAAATGAAAAAACCCGAAATCTTGATATTTGCAAGTATGGGGAAGGAACTAGAGGGTATTACCCGAAGGGAAATAAGTCAGAAAGACAGATACCTGTGACCTCACGCATGCACGGATCGTAAGAAACAAAACAGACGCTCGCAGGGGAAGGGGGTGAAATAAAATAACGGTGAAACAGAGAGGGAGGGAACCCACAGGAGATGCTGAGCTCTAGGAATCAGTGAGGGCTGCGGGGGTGGGGGGGGTGGGCATGTGGCAACGGGGGACCGGCATGGAGGAGGGCACCTGCCGGAATGAGCCCTGGGTGTTGTGTGCAGCTGACGAACCCCTGAATTCTACCCCGGGGACTAGTACCACAGTGTACGTTACCTAAGTTGAACTTAAACAAAACAAAAAAAATGTTTTTTAAGGGAGAGATTATCTACTTATATGGAAAATCTCAGCATTAAAAGGAAGTCCTGAGCCTGAGCAGACGGAGCCCCCCCAGGGGTGGGCCCCAACTTTCCCGTGTGGACGCACACACAGTGTGACGTCTGTTTGGGGATTCTGCCTGCTCACGTCCTCTGCCTGGTTTTCTGCTGGAGCACTGGTCTTTCAGCATTTTCTTATGTAAGCTCTTTTTGTGTCTGCTTTTGTCTGAAATCTCTGCTTCTCTTCCTCTGGGCCGGACATGCAGACTCGTGTCTGAGACCTTTGCCAGAGCCTGGCCTGGACAGCAGGGTTCCCCCTTTTTCTTTTTCTTTTTTATTTTTTTTTTAATTTACTTCTTTTTTTTAAGATTTTATTTATTTATTTGACAGACACAGATCACAAGTAGGCAGAGAGAGAGAGGAGGAAGCAGGCTCCCTCCTGAGCAGAGAGCCCGATGCGGGGCTCGATCCCAGGACCCTGAGATCATGACCTGAGCCGAAGGCAGAGGCTTTAACCCACTGAGCCACCCAGGCGCCCCTGTTCCCCCTTTTTAAATGTTTTCTTGAGTGCCGCCCTGTATCCACAGACTCCGTTTCTTCCGGCCCTGGTGCTGGTGGAGGCCGGGTGCCTGCCGTGTCCCCTCTGAGGAGGTTAGGATGGGACCTCCTGCACTTGAACGGCGCTGCTGTCATCCCGGCTGAGACAGTGGGTCTTAGTTATGTGTCAAGAGCGTTTTTATGAGAAACGTGTATGTGGGTGAGTTTGCAGAGAGCAGGCGTGGATGAGAGGCAGAGCCGAACACGGGCCTGAGAGCTTCAAAGCCCAGGTCTTCCCTCGGGGAAACCAGTCCCGCCACACGTGGGCAGTGGGTGTTTCTCCGACTCCGGTCTGACTTCACATCATGATTTCTTTCCCCAGGCCAGGGCAAGCTGCTGTTTAAAGACGGGAGTTACTACGAAGGCGAGTTTGTGGACGGGGAGATCACGGGGGAAGGCTGCCGGTTCTGGGCCTCATCAGGTTAGGGGGGAGACGGGTGCGGGCGTGCTGACTACTCTCTCACAGACTGTCTCTGCTGTAAGGTGTCCCTGGTTTCTGGGTGCAGAAGGCACCTGTATTTGTGAAGTGTGGGCCCCCCGTTTCCATCACGTCCCCCACATCAGCAACATGCCAACCTAGGGCCGGGGCAGCCCCTCCCAGACCTTCTCGGGCAAGCGTGGTGGTTGTTCTCCGTGGAGGGAAGGCCCACCCCCACAGGTTCTGACCCACGGAGCCTTTGCCCTTGGGCACCGGTATGCCGTGGAGAGGAGATCTGCGCCCGCACAAGTCATGGGAGGGCGGGACCGAACCCACCTAATCCTAGTTTCTCCCGTTAGCCACAGTGAACAGGAGATGAGGAGACTCGCTCACATGTTCTGAAATGGCACTTGCTGCCCCCGTTGGTCAGGGCTGGGAGGGGCAGGGCTGGACCCACAGGGATGCAGGAGCAGCTCTAACCCAGACTGCCCTTCTCCTCATCTGCACCAGGGGACACCTACTCTGGACAGTTTGTCCTGGGAGAGCCTCAAGGATACGGCCTCATGAAGTACAAAGCTGGCGGACATTATGAAGGGGAGCTCTCCCACGGCCTGAGAGAAGGTCCGACGCCCACAGGAGCCGAGTGCGGCAGGGTGCTTTGTGGGGAGCCCTGGGCCCCAGCGCCCCGCCCTGAGATCTGACTCAGGGCCTGACGCCCGCCCAGCAGAGCCGGGCGGCGCTCTTCCCTCTGCCCCCAGAACCACGTGCAGTTCCGTGGGGGGCCGTGGCCCGGGAACCCTGCCTGCTGGGGCTGAGACCGTAGGGCGCGCCTCAGTTCCCTGCTGTGCTTAAAACCCAGCGGCTCCAAAAACCACCGTTGAATTACTCGCCTGCAACCCTGGGGCTCAGCCGCCTGTCCCTGGCTCCGCGAGGCAAGGCTTCCGGCCCCACATGCGGTCACCCCTCCGGTGGCAGCGGCGGCAGCTCAAGCAGGCTGGGGGTCCTGGACCCTGGCCCGGAGCCTCAGAGCTGCTGGGGGGCGAGAAGCAGCGGGTCCTCTGCGGACAGGCTGCTGGACAGAGCCAGTCAGGAGGGCACAGGCTGGGGGCGGAGCAGGGTCTGCCCTGGGGGGTGGGTGGGTGTGCATCCCCGTGGGAGACTGAAGCGCTGGCCGTTGTAGACCAGCCCCCAGAGGCCAGCCCCGCAGCCCCGCAGCCCCGCAGCCCCGCAGCCTCTGCGTCCTCGCACGGGGAGGTGCGCGCGCTCCCAGCCGTCTCGCACCACACGGTGAAACCTGTTCTCACACTTGTGTCCTCTGGCCTTCGTTTTCTTTTTCTTTTTTAAGATCCATTTGTTTTAGAGAGAGAGGGCATGGAGCAGGGGAGGGGGGAAGGGGGAGACTCTCAAACACACTCCCTGCCCAGGGGCTCAATCTCGTGATGCTGAGATCATGACCTGAGCTGAAACCAAGAGTCGGACCTTCCCCCAACAGATCCCCCAGGTCCCCCGTCCTCTGGCCTTTAGACCAAGGGCCTCTGAGTTGGTCACTGGAGGCCCAACACTGCCCTCTCTCTGTGAGGCACAGTTTCCCGTGGACTGACGCCTAGGCAGAGCTGTGGGGTGGCCCCAGCCAGACAGCAGGGCACCCCAGCCTCAGATGCTAGGGCCTGGGGGAATTTAAGGGGTGCCCCTCCCACCCTCGCTCAGCACCTTTGAGAGCTGGACCCCAGAATCACTTTCACAGGCGTGACAGTCCCTGGTGCCACACCAAGTCACAGGGCTGTCTTCCCCAGGCGCCCCCAGCCTGGGAGGGTGACCCGGTTTCTGGAGTGGGGCTGACCCCGGCTTTTGTCCTAATCCACTGCCGCCCTCTGGGGGGCAGGGGTGGAAGCAGGGTCCCCCCCAACAGGAGGCAGGAGGTGACGCTCACTGCCCTGGGCTCCCTCCCTAGGACACGGGCACCTGGTGGACCAGGATGGACAGGCCTACTGGGGGTCGTTCCATAACAACAAGCGGCACGGCCAGGGGCACATGGTCTTCCGGTGAGTATGCTGTCCTCCCCTCCCCGGGGCGTCTGCAGCACTTGGGCGTCTGAGCTCTTAATTCCTGACGCTGGTTACTGGCGCGTTCAGTAGGGAGAACCTGACTCTGCCAGGTAAACGCCTGGTGGAAGCTTGGGCGGCGGGAGGGGGGCAGGTGGGGCCTCTCTCGGGCACCCCGGGCACGGTGGGCCTGCCTTGCCATCGGTTGCTCGCACATGATGCCACCACGGCCACGTGTGGGTTCACAGCGACTTTTCCTCAAGCCTTATGTGCCTGCGGGCCGGGCGGGTAGGGCCGTGGGCCGCTGCCATCACTCCCTGCCAAGCTTCGGGGCCGCCTGCCCGTCCACAGCAGGCCCTGGCAAGGCACGAGCTCATGCCATCTGCTCGGGGCCCATTTTTGCCTCGGGCCCCGTGGCGCGTGCTGAGCCCCGGCCGGAGGAGCGGGGCTGAGTCAGCGCCGCCACCTGGCCCTCCGCGGTCTGAGAGCAGCCCCTGTGTCTGTGTCCCCAGGAACGGTGACAAGTACGAAGGCAACTGGGTCCGGGACCAGCGTCAGGGGCACGGGGTGCTATTCCGTGCTGACGGCTCCACCTACGAGGTACCTAGAGATGTGGCAGGACCCCAGGCTCTTGGGGGCCCCGCTGGGGTCCTTGTGCCACCCGGACACCCTCATGGGGCACCTCAGTGCTGCTCCTCCCCCCCAAGGGCCAGGGAGGGCGGCCGCCCCGCCTGTGAGGAAGTGAGGGAAGGGCCCCAGCTGACACTTGCCCTGTCTGTCTCCTGTGATGCCCCACACCCTGCCGTGTCACCTGTGGGAACGGGGTGACGCTTCTCGTTCCCTTGAGGACACCCTCGGGGCCGGTGACGGGTTTCTGATGGGAAATGCCCGCCTCGATAGTGTGAGGGCACAGGCGAGGGTGCGCACCCCTCCTCATTGTGCAGGCCGTACCCCTCGGGTCTGACCAGGGGTGCGGGGTCAGGATGCACAAGCAGGTGAGGGAAGACCTCACTGGGACCCCAGAACCCATCATTCGTTTTTCTTATTGGACACTGGCCACGTGCCCAGGTGGGACGCAACGGAGTTGGAGCCGGCAGCGTGTGTCCCCTGGAGGGCCGGCTCCTGCGGCAGTCGGTGGCCGGAGGGATGCGTCGCCCCGTCGGCCCCACAGGCAGCTGGGGGGCTTCGGGCCCGGCCAACCTCGCTCCTGTGCTGTTCTGTGAGCTGAGCCCTACATGGTGACAAGCGCCTCCACGCCCCGGACAGCAAGGGCAGGGTGGGAGGGGCGCTCCGGGGGCAGGAGGGCAAGGGCGTGGCCTGGCAGGAGGTCCTGGAGGGGCCCAGGGAGACAAGGAGCCTCAGCAGGGCTGGAGAGGGATCGTAAGGGTCGCAGGAAGTGCTGGAAGGAAGCAGTCTGACGGTCCCTCCTTGTTCAGAGGGCTCTGCGGCCATTAGGAGATGGGAGGGGACAGAGAGCAGCCTTGGGGTTTGGACGGAAGACACCAGCCTCGTTGGCAGGTTGGATGTCAAGGCAAAGACAAGAGGAAAAGCAAGGGTGGCCTCTGGATCTGGGACCTGAGTATCAGAGGGAGGCGCTGCTGGGAGCCAAATCCCGCGGGGAGACAGGAACACCCGCATGTTACTGTGGAAATGGGCAGCCAGTGGAAGGCCCCGTGGACACCCCCAGAATGGACCTGGGGCCAGCCCGCACAGCCGGGCTCCTCGGGAAGGGAGACTCGTGGTGTGTGTGACGTTGTCACGGTGACTTTGCCACGGTGGCTGCAATGCCCCCACTGAATCCGGGGCCACGGGAGCCCAGGTGCCGCTGCACACGGCCGTTCACGCGGGTCCTGCCGCTGCTGAGACCGCATCAGATGGCCAGGGAGAGACGACGCGGGGTCCAGCTCCCGCAGCACGGAGCCAGCCAGGAAGAGTGGCTTTGGGCCGAGAGTGGTAACAGCTGGCAGCGTCACCGAGACAGCGGCTGGCGGGGCGCCCAAGGGGGCAGCTGGCGTCCCGGCCCCGCGCAGCAGAGCTCAGACACCGGCCTGGAGCGTGGACAGCCCCCGCAGCAGCCTTGCCCTTCGTCACACAAGCTCGGCCCAGGAAGGCAATACCCCGGCCTCGGTCAGGGCCGCTGGCAAGGGCCAGCGTCCCCCGTGCACATCCGTGTCGCTGCCGCCCCACTGCTTCTTTGCCAGGGGCTGTCCGCCCAGTCTCACAGGGCCAGCTGTGGGGCATAGCACGGGCACCACAGACAACCGTCCACGGTTCTCCAGAGCTGCAAAGCGGGGGAGACACTGGGGGCAGGTCTCTGTCCCCTGCCGCCCCACCGTGCCACAGCTGGCATCCGTGCCAACGTGCAAACCAGCCCTCGAGGGGCCGGGGAGGACAAGCACCAGAATATTCACGCCACAGGCACCGGCCTCTGTCCTCAGCCCTTCTCCCCACTTCACAGATGAGGACACAGGCCCAGCGGAGGGGTGGGGAGTTCCGGCCTGGAGCCCCAGTGAGAGTTGGGGGGCGGCTGCATGTCCTCTGACCCGGGTGGGTCCCCTCACAGCCAGTCGGGCCAGTGGAAGGAGCACCCCGTTCTGCGGACCCCCCAGCACTGCCCTGTTCCTAGAGGCTTTTCTGGCCCTCGGCCCCTCCTCCGCCCGCTGGGCCTCACTGCAGGGCTGTGGCTGCCCCCGGGGCCCCCATGCAGGCCTCCCCTGCATGTCAGGGCTCAGCCCGGAGCAGACAAGGGCAGCAGCTTTCCACACCGCCGGCTGACCTGGGCACCCACCGCCTGCCCAGCGCTCCACCAGGGGGCAGCCCAGCCCCGGAGCGGGGCGGCCCGGCAGCCCTCACGGGGGCTTCTCCCGCTTGGGAGACATTTTGCTCCAACTTGAGCGCTGGAGCCGGGTCTCAGCCCGAGCCGCCTCAGGCTGCTCCTCCTGCTGGCCAGGCTGCCGCCGTCCCCAAGTGAGGAGACATCCACCTGGACGGTCGCCCCTCAGTGTCACAGGCTGCTCTGTCCCAGCCTGCAGACCTCAGGACCCCCACACGCCCTCGAGGGAGGTGGCATGTCTTCGACGAGGGGCCCTCCCACAGGAGTCAACATGGAAGACTGGTCCTCCGGCCACATCTTCCCCAGGATGCAGACTCGTGTCCACATGCATATCTGTTTGCTTGGCAACTTCCCAACTTTCCGGAGCGTCGTACCCAAGGACCTGGGACAACCGTCTGCCACCTGCAGCTGTGAGTGCTGCTGGGACACCCGTCCTCCGTGGTGCTTGCGGTGTCTGTATCGGCCGCCCCCAGCCACGCGCGGGGGCAGGGATGTGTGCAGCCACCTCGCCCACAGCCCTGGCGCCGATGGGACGACTCCAGTGGCACCCAGGTCCCAGAGGGCAGGCGTGGGGGTCCCTCACGGCATTCCTTGGTCCTCCAGCCACTTTCTTAACCAGCTTCCAGAAGGCCGTGCAGACGGGGCGCGTGGAGAAGGGCTGCGCCCAGGAAAGCCACATGGAGACCTCGGACACGACGACCTCAGACTCGGAGACCTTGGACACGGAGACCTCAGACCTGGCACCCTTGGACGTGGCGACCTCGGGCACGGAGACCTCAGACCAGGCGCCCTCGGACACGGAGACCTCGGAGTCAGAGACCTTGGACACACGGCGCTCTCGGACACAGCACAGCACCTGCCGCCACCAGCACGCATTCTGGAGCCGTTGGGAGACTTCGCTCACGGTCTGTCTCCAGGCCTGGCCCATGGGGAAGGCTCAGGCCTCTCCACGTTGCAGGGACGCCTCACGCCTGACCTCCGACCCTCGGTTATCAGGGTCACCCTGTAGCCTGGGCGGCATGGGAAGAAGCTGGGCGCTACCCCAAGGCGCGTCTCCCATGCGGGCACGGTGTTCCCTGGACTCCCACTGAGCAAACAGTCGGCCTCCTTTAAAACCATCTCTGCGTATCGTGAAACAGGCCTCACGTGAAATTCGCAGTTGTTCCCGCTAAGGGCACGGCTCCGGGCGTGAAGCACAGTATACTGTCGTGATCCCGTCCCCACTGTCCGTCTCCAGGACGTTCCATCTTCCAGACTGACGTCTGCCCCCAGGAAACACTAGCCCCCCGACCTGTGGCACCCACCCCGCCACTTTGTCTCCGTGGATCTGACTCCCGCAGGAGCCGCGCATGCGGGGAGTCCCGCGGGGCCTGTGCCGTGGGAAGCGGCTTGTCTCACTGAGCACGACGCCCTGGAGCTCCGCCCCTGCCCCTTCCTCCCTCAGGCTGGATAACAGTCTGTCACATGGAGGGACCCGGTGCTGCACCTCCGTCCTTCCACCCACGGACCCCGGGGCCGCTCCCACCACTGGGCCCTCTGAGCGCGGCTGCTGGGGACGCGGGGGGCACAGCGCTCAGCCCCTGCACCCAGGTCTTCGGGGCGCATGCCCAGAAGACGAGCTTCTGGACCACGTGGTGGCTCCCCGCTGGATTTCTGGGGAACCCCACGCCGCTCCCACAGGTTCCGATCTGTCCACACCTCGCCTGCACCTGTCCCTCCTGCCCTTGAAGACAGCCGTCCCCACGTGTTCTGGCCTGCCCACAGTCCAGCACCGACTATTGCCGCCATCGAGGGATGTGGCCTCCCTCCGTCCTTGCTGGGCTCGTCTGCCCGGCCTCACCATCCTTCCCGGCAGACTGGACTGCCGGCCCCGACAGCTGCTGTCACCCGGGGAGCACAGGCTCTGTCACACACACGGCCGGGACGCAGGAACCATCCTGTGCCTACTGGTGTGGCAGGGTCTGTCCACCTCTTGCTTTCTTCCCAGGGAGTGCCGACCCCCACATGAGGCCCTGGGCAGCCGCAGACCCCACCCTCTTCAACCCTGAGCTGCCCAGAAAACTGTCCTGGGCCCCTCTCACCACAGATCTGCCAGCTTCTGATTTTTATTTATTTTTGAGGTAATTTTATTTCCTCAAAGATTAGACAACAGAGGCTGAGCTGTCCCTTGGCCATGTCCTGTGTCAGCCGAATTGGACAGAGAACCTGCCAAACCCAGAGAAGGGGAAGTTCCAGGAGGGGTGGTACCTGCAGAGGCGCACTCGGGGCCGCATGGAGTGGGGGAGCCGGGACACCCCCCGCCCGCACACGGTTAAGTCTGCCTTCCCGTGGCAAGTGCGCCTTTGCCCCAAGGTTCCTGCTGCCTCATCAGCAGATCCCCCAATGCAGACCGTTGTAAGGAGCCTTTAAGAAGTTAGTCCCAGGCAAAGTCCACTCCTGAAAATCATGTTCTAGCGTCTTCTGTCAGGACATAAGAACAATGTATCCCTAAGCCAGAACTGCTTCTCCCTCTCCCGTGACGGGGGCCGCACGGGCGGGGTTGGGGCGGGTGGTTGTAACCGGCTCATCTTGGAGAGAACGTTTCCTGCCTCTGTGACCCACTGAAGGTTCTGCCCGGGTCACCCCCGGGCTCCGGGCTCGCACCCACTGGACCACCTCCAAGGGACACGGGGGCGGGCGTGCCCAGCAGCGGCAAGCCTACTGGCTCCTCCGGGGGACGTGGCTGTAGCACAGTGACCCCCGCGGGCACAGGGCAGCTGCTCCTAGAGGCACAGCATTCGGAAATCCCTGGTGGAGCCCAGGAGCCGGTACCGCTCCGTGGAGGCGAGCCACGTACCCCACAGAATGGAAGCAGATCCAAGCTGTCGGGGAACCTCGGTGACTGTGCAGCAGAGCGGTCCCTACCGTGTGTCCGCAGGGTGGTCCCCGCCAGCAGCTGCCGGCTTCCGGCCGTCCCTGGGCGCCTCTTCACGCACGCCGGCTGTTTTCGGGTTGGCTTTCCCAGAGGGAGGCCTGCAGGTCGGTACACCTGCTGGCCACACGGGGCGGCCGGCCTTCTGTGCGTCCCCTGCCCCCAGCTCCCAGCCGCCGCTGCGCTCACCTGTGTGTCTTTGGGAATGCCGCTGGCCATTATGTCCCCAGGCCACCCTTCACAGCCCAGGAATGTGGGGCCCTGACTGCAGGGGTGCACTGCACACAGGACAGTCGGGCATCTGGGTCTGCTCACACACAGGGGAGGGGTCCGGACTGCCAGAGCCGTCGTGGGGGCCAGCGCCACGCTGTGTCCTCTGTGCGGTCCGCACGTCAGCAGGCATCAGAAACAGACACAGAAAGGCAGCAAGAGCCACAGTGCACACCTTGACATCCGAGGAACTAACGAGCAAGGTCATGAAGATCCAACACAGCCATGACCCTGCTCTTGCTGGGGACACGGATGAGCAGGGGCACACCTGTGCCCCCACATGCCGGCCTGCGTGCCCATGGCAACCCCACAGGCTGCCCCACAAGCTGGAGACGCAGGCCCCTTGGACAGTCCCAGGGCCCAGGCAGGTGGCCTGGGGACATCCGCTTATGTGACCTAACTCCAGACCACCCTTTGCTGGTCTACAAGGTCGTGACCTCCCAGACGGTGGTCCTCTGCTCCAGCTCCGAGGTTCAACGACGGGGGAGGCCGTCCCAATACCGCCCAAGGCAGACATTGGGGAGCTGGGCCATCGGGCCCTCGTGGTGTGGCCAGCCAAACCCTGGCGCCACAGGCAGGACGTGACCCATGTGCCAGGCTGGACGTTCAGTGTGTGCTGGGGGGCACCGGGTGGTGTGGGGGGGCAGGTGGAGAAGCACAGTAGCTCTTCCCTCGGAAAGGAACATAGAATCAACAGAACAGGCTCCCTAAAATGAGAAGAGAATCAAGCTCTTCTCACAGTTTATTCCCACCACGTGTGCCTGGGAGAGCACCCAAGGAGGCTCTCATCCCAGCGGCCCAACTATCCTGGGAGCTGTGGGCGCGCAAAGGTGGGCCCACCACGGAGGCATCTGCAACACCCCCTTGGGGTCCCAGGGGCCCCCCAGCAGCTGCAGGGTGACAGGCGTGGCTCCCCGCCATCCCGCAAGACCATTTCCTAATGCTGGGTCCCATCCCGCCAGTGTCTGTGGTGTGGACAAAGCCCTGTGCCCCCTCTTCCCGCATCACCCTACGGTGCACAAGCCCTCAGCAGGGCAGAGAGGGGCAGGGAGAGAGCAGAGGGAGCCCCCGCCCCGGGTGGGATGCGCCCCCCAACTGTCCTCCGGGGGAACCCCCCACCCCCTCCGTGCGACGCTTTTTAAAGTATTGGTTCATGCATCGGGTGCAAGTCAGCTGAGAAAGGGCAGAGTTTTCAAAGGTAGGATTTATAACATCAATTAAGATTCCGCGCTGCTGGGCAAGGTACGCCGCGCCCTGGAGTGCGCCTGTCCTGGGGGAGTCTGTGTTAGCGCTGCAGACACCCAGCCCCCACCAGACGCCCCAGCAGCCTGTGAACGACCCGGGAAAACAGTGGAGGGTAAGTGTAGAGCCCCGCACGCCCCTGGAGTGGGTGTGGGACACATGGCCCCACCGGCCGTCCTGGACATCTCTGGGTGTGGAGGACCCGCCAGTCTGCTCCCTCTCGGGCCAACCCGAGGCTGTGCCTTCCTCCAGGAAACAGCGAGAGGACTGGGCCGAAGGAGGGAGCGCGGAGACAAGAGGTGGCCGTTCTCACGGCAGCAACAGCTACGATGCGGATGACGGGCCAGCAGCCATCTCACGGCTTAGAGAGCCTCTTGGCCTGTCTTGAGCCCTCACGCAGTCCTGAGAAAGCCAGCAAGTGTTTATGACTAGCGTCCGTCCGTCCGTCCATGGGAGCTCTGATGCTGGGCTCCAGGAGGGCGGGAAAGGGATGTCCGCTAGGAAGCGCCACAGGCTTGGCTCCATCTGGCGGGAGCATCTGGAGCCCACGATGGGGAGCCAAGCGAGGGAGGTGTGGACGTCCCCGCTGCGGGCGTGGGCGGGGTCAGTGCTCTGTGCACACTGGACTCCGCAGCCAGTTTCCAGCATCTTGAATCCCAACCTCCCACCTGGGAGAGCCCCTGAGCACGTGGCCAGGCTCCACGGGCCCCACGCCCATCCCCAGCACACCTGCACAGGGACGGGAGCGAAGACTGGGAGGCGAGGGCAGGTGGCAGGCCTGCCCGGGGCACACAGTGGGCACAGAGACCCCAGCTCTTGCCACTGGGAGGGCGGAGGGAGGCTGGGGAAAGGTGAGGGGCCCCTCATGAAGGCTCTGTTCTCCCGGAGGCACAGCCCCCGCCCGTGGCCGCCGCCCCCAGCCTGGGCCCCTGTCGGGGCTGACCGCATCCCACTGTACCAGCTGTTACTGCCAGGCCTGGGGACTGAGCCCCGTGGTTCTAAGTAGACCGCACAGTGGGTGCTGGGGGCAGTGGACGTGGCTTGGCTCCTGTGGGGTTTGCGTTCTTTTGGCTGAGAGTCCTGTCGCCTGAGTTGAAACCGGTGACTTCTCAAGTCCGAGGATGGTATCGTGAGGGAAAGGGTTTCCTGGCAACAAACCGTTCCAGCGTCGTCTTCACATCCAAGCCTCACCCGCCGGCTCCCAGCAAGCAGAGTCCCCGGGGGCAGGGGCTTAGCGTGCAGGCCCCCTGCCCTCCCAGGATTGTCCCCACACCGACCCACGGACGGCAGCCCAGCCCAGCGCGCCCTGCTGTCTCCCACCCAGGTCATTTTGCCCATCCCATTGAGAGAGCCGCCCCACCACACACACACATGCACATGGACACACCGAGGCACACGTGTGCACACGCATGCAACAGATGTACACAATTGCACACAGATACGCAGGTGCACACGTGGGAGCAGGGGCGCGTACATCACCTCAAGCGTGGACACGTGTGCAGTGACTCCCTGATCGCAGGGCCAAACGCCCACGCTGGCTCTAGAGTGGCCCCCGCAGCTGCCAGCGGGCTCCCTGCCCCGAGTCAGGACAACAGAGCGGGGCCCACCGGTCGTGACTACAGGGCCTCACCTCCACTTAGGTCCGGCCCGTCACCTGCACACGTGAGCCACTTCCCGGAGAACGTGACCTCAGCCTCGCGTGGCCCTGAGCATCCTGGGAGAACCACCAGGGTGCCCAAGCCGTCATGGGGCTGACTCGGCTCTCTGGGCCTCCCCCGAGGTGGGGGGCAGCCTGGCACCCCAGCAGGCAGCCCAGCCACTCCTGCCAGCTGTCCAGTGCCCTGGCCCAGAGGCCAGCTGTGCTGGAGCCTGGCCACGGAGGTCCCGCCCCCACCCCGCAGCGTGACCTGGCCCCACAGCCCTGGTGCTCGGTGACTCTGTTCTCCAAGTCGCCCCCCGGGCTCGGGGCATCCGAGTTCTGCAGAGCTGCGGCTCTTGGGCCATTCTCACAGCCCCATGGCCCCTCGTGGTCCCTCCCAAGGGAGAGCCAGGCGCCAGCCTCCACTGAGCTGCCTCCCACGACACCTGCGGGCAGCGCCCTCCACGTGGCACCGACGGCGCCCGGGCCTCGGGAGAGCAGGGCAGGGACACGGGAGCCCCGTTAGCTCCCTCAGAGGAGCGCATAGACCCACACGGCTTCCGGCTGGTTTTTCTTCTAACAGGAGTAATTCCCACTTAGATGAAATACCATCAGGACCTTGAAGTTTTCCACGGAAACAGTTGTGGCTCTCGCGTTGTCCTTACGCCACTGTGCCTGTGGTTCAGAGAGGCTGCTGGGGGGGGCAGGGGGGTTGCACGCGGGCTCCGAGGGCCCCTCAGGGGGCTTGTTGCTGGTGGGGGCTCCTCGCCCGCACCAGTATAGTCTCTACTGAAAGGGTCTTTGTGCTCCCAGTGCCCCGTTCGAAGCGTTCGCATAGGAGCCGTTGTCCCCAGACTTCCCGGCTTCTCACAATTCCACTGCGGAGGGACTTGGAGGCAGGGCGGTACCACGTGATTGCCGCCCCTCGGGGGTGGTTTTCCAGCAGCCTCAGTCCTCGTCTGTTGGGGGGGATGGTGCTTTCAGGGACCCCGGGCCTCCCCCTGCTGTCTCATGTCATCCATGGGCTCTGAGTCCACACGGCTCTCTCCGCAGGGACAGTGGCACGGCGACGTCTTCAGCGGCCTGGGCCAGCTGACCCACTGCTCCGGGGCCGTCTACCACGGGATGTGGATCAGTGGCCACCCGGTGGGTAGGTGCCTCTCCCGCCCCTGCCTCCCCCTGTCTTCTCGTGGGGTCGCGGTGGGGTCTGCTGAGTTCTGTCTCCGATGGCCACAGGCGCTCGCACAGGGATGCTGAATCCGGAGGTGGTTGGGGTCAGGGGTGAAGTGGGATCTAATACCCCAGCCCCTTTAGGAGAGACACGTTCCAGTCGGGTTTCAGAAGGACTTGCGACTGGTCTGCCTTCGGCTCAGCTGAGGATCTCAGGGTGCAGGGGGTCTGGGGGCCGAGCCAGCCTTCCCCAGGGTCCACCGGGAGTGCCTTTGTAACTGTGCCCTGGGAAGAGACCCAGATCTCAGCCCACCCCACGTGAGGGGTGCTGGAACCCCTGGGTGTGAAAGCCTCGGCAAGGGGGCATAGGACGTGTCCTCGCATCCTCCCAGCAGAGTCTCAGCAACCACCAGAGTCCACCTAGGCCAGCTGAGGCGGACTCTGGCCTCCCCCTGCTGAGGGCCGGGTTGTCCCCCCTCAACGGAGCAGGGCTGTCCAGGCCCACCGTCTCCGTGAGGCACCTGCTGCCGTCCACACACACCTGTGCGAGCTCCCTCCTGGCCGCACGTCCTCTGTCAGACTCAGTCTTGTCCTAAGCTTTAACCACCCTCACCCTGGTGCCGCTACCGGCTGGGGACGCAGGGGGAGCAGACACCGAGAACGCCATCTCCAGCTGCTCCGACCCCAGAGGCGCCCTGCACGTCCAGCCTGTGGGTGGCCACGCCCCGGCCAGCTCCCCAGCTGGTGTCCAGGGCGCCTCACCTGGCACACACGGAGCCACTGACCAGACGCAAGGAAGGCGGGGCCAGAGTCCCAACCAAGCAGAGGTGTGCAGGAGTGTCCCCCCAAGTGCAAATCCGAATGCCCACGAGCCACTCGCTCACAGCCCTTCGGCGCTGGGTGGGCTTTCGAGGCCTCTGTAGTGTAACCAGCTCTGCAGTAAGTTGCTTAAAAGTCACAGCTGACCCTCAGGATGGGTCACAGTCTCACTCAGTGACGGCCCGGGTCGCTGTGTGGGGTGGCACGGGCAGGGGACTTCCAGCCACGCGTGTGATGACCACACGTCCCTCCCCCTGCGGTGCCCTGGGAAGCGCGGCTGTTCCGTGGGGGGCCCACGTGGGGGCCTGGGCTCGCGCGGACAGCGGCCCCCCTGTTCAGCTGTGCCGCGCTCTGCTCTGCTCTCTCCCAGCACAAGCCAAGAAGATTGTGATTCTGGGTCCGGAGGTGATGGACGTGGCTCAGGGCTCTTCCTTTACCGTGAGCGCTCAGCTGCAGCAGGACAATGGGGAAGTGGCCGAGGGTGAGTGTCTCCAGGGTGACGGCTGCAGACGTCAGGTGCTTAGGGTTAGGGACGAGATGCCCTGTGTGGCTTCTGGTACGGGGACACCCGCAGTAACTCTTGTTTTGTCCTCATCTCTGGAGCCTTGTCAGAGGGGGCGTGTGAGTCCCGTGTGTGTGCATGTGTGTGACATGGGCGTGTGCCCATGGCCATTGCACAGCTCACAGGACGATGTGTGGCTTCTCGGGGCTGCTGGTGTCTGCGGGGACCTGTGCCTGGCGAGGGGCGAGTTCCTGTGTCCTCCATGGGTCATCAGGGGAGGACAGATCTCCAGTCCAGCTGCGTTTTGGGGAATGGTATCAGCTGAGTGGCAACATAGAGGTTGGACAGCTGACCTGCCAGAGCCCTTCCCGCCCATGAGCAGATTGCCCGGTGCGGAGAGGGGCGTCCTGGCCTGGCGGCAGGGTGGAGGACCCCAAATGCGTCCATCAGCGCCCCGGCGGTCACGGTGCGGTGGCCGGGGCAGGACCGCTGGCAGTACATGCCTGCCTGAGACGCTTAGTGTCTGCTAGTTTGCCTGGGGTCAGCAAGCTTTGACGAGGGCGCCACGATGAGCAGCACTGAGCAAGGACAGTCACAATCGGTTCATTTTAACAACTTTATTTTGGTGTCGTTTTTTTGTGTTTTTTTTTTTTAATTTTTAAAATTTTTTTTTTTTTTTTTTTTGACAGAGATCACAAGTAGGCAGAGAGGCAGGCAGAGAGAGAGAGGGAAGCAGGCTCCCCGCTGAGCAGAGAGCCCGATGCGGGGCTTGATCCCAGGACCCTGGGATCATGACCTGAGCCGAAGGCAGAGGCTTAACCCACTGTGCCACCCAGGCGCCCCTTGGTGTCGTTTTTATGGCTCGAAATTCTCAAGTATTAAGTGACTCCTAGATTTTCAGTAAATTTACAGAGTAGAGTACCACCAGCCCCCAGTTCTGCTTCAGACCATTTCCTTCGCCTCAGAAAGACCCCTGCTGCTCGCCGCAGCCCGGCCCCCACAGGTGTGCCCTCTGTGGCACTTGGATGAGTAGAGTCCCACAACCCGTGGCCTCAGGTCCTGCATCAGTGACCGGTGTCCTTGGCTGCGGTGACCCACGTGGACGTGCTGGCGCTTCACGGACCGCGCCTGTGCCTGGTTTCCCGGCTCATCTGTTGGTGGACATTCAGGTCCCTGCACTTTGGGCAGCTGGAAGGTTTGGGGCAAGTTTCCGTGCGGCCTGTGTTCTCTGTGTCTCAGTCATGCACCCCTGAGTGGAGCTGCTGGGTCATATGCAGATTTACGTGTAACTTTCCAAGAAACTGCCAGACTGTTTCCCAGAGTGGCCACACCAGTTTACAGTCCCACCAGCCGCATGGGGCTCGGTTCCCTCCACCCTGCCCATCCACAGCCATCCCGGGACTGTCAGCCAGCCCGCTGAGGCTCTGAGTCGCACTTCCCTCCCAGCAGTTGGGGCCGAGCAGCTTTTTGTGTGTTTACTGGCCCCGTGTGCGTCTTCCCTAGGGAAATGTTTACCCAACTATGTCGTCCATCTTTTTAAATTAGGCTGTTTGCTCTTCTTGTTTTTCAGTTATTGGAGTTCTTTATGTATTCTGGATACTAGTTCTTCATCAGTTACATCTTTGCAAATCATTTCTTCTGGTTGCAGCTCATCTTGTGATTTTCCTTAAGCATTTTTTAAATATTGATTGATTTGAGAGTGAGAGCATGCGAGTGGGGGGAGGGAGCAGAGGGAGAGGGAGAGAGAAAATCTCAAGCAGACTCTTGCTGAACACAGAGCCTGAGTCGGAGCTCAATCCCACAACCCCAAGATCATGACCTCAGCCAAAATCAAGAGTCGGATGCCTTACCGACTGAGCCAGCCAGGTGACCCCATCTTGTAATTTTCTTAATGCTGCCTTCTGAAGTGCAAAGGTTTTTAATTTTGATGAAGATTTGTCAATTTTTTCTTTTATAGATCATAATTTTGGTAATGTATGTAGGAATGATTAGCCCGACCCAAGTACACAAAGATATTCTCCTGTTTTCTGCTAGAAGTTTTGCTCTTGCATTTCTGCAATCCATTTTCAGTTAATTTTTCTGGATAAGATAAAGTTCTCAGTTCATCTTTTCTCTTGTGGCCGTCCAGCCATCCCGGTACCATGTGCCGGAAAGTCTGTCCTCTCCCCATTGAAATGCCTCAGCACCTCAGTCGAAAACAACTTCACTGTCAGAGTGAGGGTTTGTGCAGACTCTGGATTTTGCTCCGTTGACCCATATGTCTGTCTCCACACCCCACACCATCTTCATTATTGTAGCCTCACTCTGAGTTTGGAAATTAAAGACTCCTTCGATTCTGCTTTCTTTTTTAAAATTGTTTTGACTATTCTGGGAGCTTCATCTTTTTTACAGTTTTTTTAGGATCAGCTTGTCAGTTTCTGCAGGGGGAAAAAAAAAGCCTGCTGGGATTTTTGTTAGGGATCGCTTTGACTCTGGCCGGGAAGAGCCACCATGAGCTGCACTGCATCTTCCCATCCATGAACATGGGACACCTCCCCATCTATTTATATCTGTACTTTCTCTCACCAATGTTTTGTAATGTTTAGTGTGCAAGTCTTGCACTTGTTTTGTTAAAGTTATTAATAATGATAAATAATTTATCAACATTTTGTTTATAACTTAGTTATAGTTGGTTCAGTAATTAACGAGTCATGTTTGTTCTTTTTATATTATTATGGATGGAATTGTTTCCTTACCTTTATTTCAGGAATTCCTAGGCTGCAATTGATTTTAAAACAACATCTTATGTCCTGTGACCTTGCTGAACTCATTTGCTAGCTCTGCTGCTTTTCCTGAGGATTTCTTGGGATTTTGCTATATGGAGAATCATGTCATCTGCAAAAACATCCAATTTTGCTTCTTCCTTTCCAGTCTGGATGTGTTTTCTTTCTTTTGTCTGCAATATTTTCTATTCCCACTGGCAGTGACCAAGGTCTCCAATGGCTCGACCTCCTTGCCGGCATTTGTTGCCATCAGTCTTTGTAGTCCTCGCCATCCTACTGGGGACAAAGTGGTGTCTTGCGCTTCTGATATGCTCCTCTAACAAGTCATGATGTTGAGCATCTTTTCAGATAGTTATTGGCCATTTCTATGTCTTCTTTGGAGAAATATCTATTCAGATATTTGCCCATTTTTAAAAAATGGGTAACTTGGGTGGCTCAGTCAGTTAAGCGTCTGTCTTCACCTCAGGTCATGATCCCAGAGCCCTGGAATTGAGTTCCACATCAGATTCCCTGCTCAGCGGGGAGCCTGCTGTTCCCTCTCCCTCTGTCCCTGCTTGTTCTCTCTCTGTGTGTCAAGTAAAGAAATAAAATCTTTAAAGAAATAAAATAAATTTAACATTTTAAAAATGGGTAAGTGCCTTTTGATTGTGAGTTATTAAGAGCTCTTAATGTATTCTGGATATAAGTTCCCTTATCAAATATCTGATTTGCAAATATTTTTTGCCATTTTGTGGATTGTCTTGCACTTTCTTAGTGGTGTCCTTTGAACACAGAAGGTTTGAATTTTGGTAAAGTGCAATTCCTTTACTTTTTTCTTTTCTTGCTTATGCTGTTGGTTTCATACCTAAGAAGACTCCCTAACTCAGAGTCATGAAAATTTACTCCTGTATTTTCTTCTAAGAATTTTATATTTTTAGCTCTTACATTCAGAACTATAATCCATTTAGAGTTCATCTTTATGTGTGGTGTGAGGCAGGGGTCCAGCTACATTCTTTTGCATGTCAATGTCAGTTGTACCAGTGTCATTTGTTGAAAGACTGTTATTCCCCCCCATTGAATTATCTGGGCATTCCATTTGCTAAAATTTTCTTTAAAGTTTTTACATGTTTTTTCATGAGGGATATTGGTCCTGAATTTTTTTTTTCTTTTTTAAGATTTTATTTCTAAGTAATCTCTGCACCCAATGTGGAGCTCAAACTTATAACCCAAGATTAAGAATCACATGCTCTACCGACTGAGTCAGCCGTGTGCCCCCAATTTTTTTTAATATCTTAGTCTGGTTTTGCTATCAGGGTAATGTTGACTTCATGTTTCAATTTTCTGGAAGAGTCTGCATTGAATTCATATTATTTCTTTCTTAAATGTTTGGCAGATTTCAATATGAAGATCATTGAAGCCTGTCGTTCCTTTGTGGGAAGACTTTTTTTTTTAAAGATTTTATTTATTTATTTGACAGACAGAGATCACAAGTAGGCAGAGAGGCAGAGAGAGAGAGAGAGGGAAGCAGGCTCCCCGCTGAGCAGAGAGCCCAATGCAGGGCTCGATCCCAGGACCCTGAGATCGTGACCTGAGCCGAAGGCAGAGGCTTAACCCACTGAGCCACCCAGGTGCCCCATGTGGGAAGACTTTTAACTACTAATTCAATTTCTTTAAGTAGCTATAATGTTATTTGGGTTATCTACTTCTTCTTGAGTGAACTTTGGTGTTTGTGTCTTTGAAGGAATATTTGTTCATTTCATCTGAGTTGTTTGATTTATTGTCGTAAGCTTCTTCATAATATTCCTTCATGTCCTTTTAATGCACTGATACCACCTCTTTTGTTCCTACTAAGGATCATTGATTTCTTCTTTCTGTTTTGCCTGACTCATCGGGCCACAGGTTACCAGTTTTATTGGTAAACAATCAACTTTTGGTTTCATTGATTTCTCTATTATTTTGTTTTCTATTTCATTAATTCCTATTGTGATGTTATTTCCTTGCTTCTTATTTTGGATTTAATTTGCTCTTTTTTTCTTTTCTTTTAGTTTTTAAGATGGAAACCAAGGTAATTGACTTCAGACCTTTCTTTACTAACACAAGAGTTTATTGCTATAAATTTCCCTCTTAGAACAGCTTTAGCTGCATCCTGAAATTTTTGATAGGTTTTGCATTCATTTTCATTCAATTCAAAATGCTTTCTGATTTCCCTTTTGATTTCCTTTTTGACCCATGAGTTATTTAGAGATATGTTGTTTTGTTTCCAAATTTGGAGACTTTTTTCATAGAATTTGTTCTATTTTGGTAAATGCTGTGTGTGCACTTTGAGAAGTATATGATTTCTGCTTTCATTGGGTAGAACATTCTATATATATCAGGTGGATTTTATTGATACTATCCTTCAAGGTCACATGTGCTGCTGATTTTTTGTCTGCTTGTTCTATCAGTTGCTGACAGTGGGATCTTGACATCTCTAATTGTAATTGTGGATTTGCTTATTTCTGATTTCATTTCTATCATTTTTTGCACCATGTATTTTGAAGGTCTATCATTAGATGTGTAACATTTAGGATTTTTATGTCATTTAATTAGATAACCCCTTATCATTGCAATATTTCCTTTTTCATCTTTGGTGTAGTCATTGCTAGGACAACTACTTCCTGTAATAATAATATAGTCCACTCCAGCTTTCTCCTAACTAGTATCAGCATTGTGTATCTTTATCAATACTTTTACTCTCCACCTATGTAAGTCTGTATTTAAAGTGTGCTTTTTGGGGGCGCCTGGGTGGCTCAGTGGGTTAAGCCGCTGCCTTCGGCTCAGGTCACGATCTCAGGGTCCTGGGATCGAGCCCTGCATCAGGCTCTCTGCTCAGCGGGGAGCCTGCTTCCTCCTCTCTCTCTGCCTGCCTCTCTGCCTACTTGTGATCTCTGTCAAATAAATAAATAAAATCTTTAAAAATAAATAAATAAATAAATAAATAAATAAATAAATAAATAAATAAAGTGTGCTTTTTGGGGCATCTGGGTGGCTCAGTCGTTAAGCCTCTGCCTTCAGCTCAGGTCATGATCCCAGGGTCCTGGGATCGAGCCCTGCATCGGGCTTCCTGCTTGGTGAGGAGGCTGCTTCTCCCTCTCCCACTCCCCCTGCTTGTGTTCCCTCTCTTGCTACATCTCTCTCTGTCAAATAATAAATAAAATTTTTAAAAATAAAAATTTAAAAATAATAAAGTATGCTTTTTATAGGCAACATATTGTTGGGTCTTAGTTTTTCATCCAGTCTAATCACATCTATCTTTTATTTTTTTTTTTAAGATTTTATTTATTTATCTGACGGAGAGCACAAGTAGGCAGAGAAGCAGATGGTGGTGGGGGCAGACTCCCCACTGAGCAGGGAGCCCGACTCGGGGCTTGATCCCCAGACCCTGAGACCATGACCTGAGCTGAAGGCAGAGGCTTAACCCACTGAGCCACCGGGGCACCCCAATAAATAAGTAAATCTTTAAAAAATGGAGGGATTTTTCAGCCTTTATTTCCTCAAATAGTTTTTCTATCACAGTTCTTCCTCCTCTCTTTCAGGGGCCTCATTACCCACGTATTAGGGTGCTTGAACTTGCCTCACTGTCCATGGATTCTTTTTCCCCTTCCCCCTTCCTCCCTCCTTTCACTTTACCTTTGTTTTTCTTCCTCTTTTTTCTTTTTTCTCTTGATGTTTCATGTTGGCGGTTTCTATAGCTATGTTTTCAAGTTCGTGAATTTTTTTTCTACAATATCTCATCTGTCATTGATCACATACCGTGTACTTTTTTATCTCATAGTTTTTGTCTCCAGAAGTTCAACTTTATTTTTATATCTTCTCTGTCTCTACTTACATCTTGAGCACATGGAGTATGGGTCCAATAAAAGCTTCGGAGAAGGGTCCTTCCTGCCGGTCCTCACATCTGGTGCGTTCTGAGCCGATGTCAGCTGCCTGCAGTCCCTCCTCACTACGGAACGTACTTTGCTGCGTTCTTTGCCCAGTAATCTTTGATTGGTGCCAGACACGGAGGATTTTACCATTTGGTGGCTGGGTATTTCTGTGTTCCCATAACTCTTGTTGGACTTTGTTCTGGAGCACAGTTGGCTTATTTGGAGACAGTCTGATCCTTTCAGGTTTTGCCTTTATGACGTGTGAGGTGTGGAGGAGAGCTCCGTCTGAGACCCAGAATCCCCGCTGTTGAAGCCGGACCTTCTGAGAGCCCTGTCCGTGTGCTGTGGCATCCATTCTCCCAGTGTGGCCAGCAGGAGTGAGCCCCACTCCCAGTGCCATGCAAGCCCAGGTCCCTCCCGCCCTCCCCTGTGGCTCTTAGCCTGGCCTCTGGGCATTTCCTCGCACTCGTGCACAGATATGTGCTCCACCGTGTCCCCGGAGGTCCCTCACCTCTCTGTTCCTCTGCCTCCAGGACTCCAGGACCCCTGCTGTGTGCTTCTCCTCCTGGCCTCCCAGCCCTGTTTGCTCACTGAGGAGTTTCCTGGGCTCTCTCAGTCCCTCTCCCTGCACCCGGTCCCCCTTCTCTCAAGGCAGTGGCCTGGACAGTCGGGGAGTCCACACCATTTGTTTCGCATCTCTCAGGGGCCGCTGTCCTTGCCTGAGATCCAGGATCTTGAAAAGCCATCGCACCATCATTATATTTTCTCTGCCTTTTTTGGGTGCTTCGAGTGGGGCATGAATTGGTTCCGGGTACTCTGTGGTGACCAGAAGTGGAAGTCAATCAAATCCCGGGGGGGCTGTGGCTCTCTACTCTCCTTCCAAGCCGGAGTGCTCGCACTGTCAGCCCTGCCACACCTCCTCTTCCACAGGGGCTGGACGGCGGGCCTGCACTGACACCGCTCGGTGGGTACCGTCGGCTGTCCTTCTGCACTGGCCCCAGAGCCCACACGGCCAGGCCCTACGCTGGGTGCGTCGGGCGCGCAGACAAGGGGGCACAGTTGGGAAGTAATGAGCGCAATGTCTCCCCGAAGGCAGGACCGTGGTGGAGACAGGCTCCTGGTGTGTCTGCTCCCAGCCAGGGCCACCCCCATGGCCCCGAGGACAACCAACAAAAAGAGGCCCCCCGGAAGCACAGCGAGGTGCCCGGAGGCTCAGGCCCCCAGCAAGGGCAGGAGAAGTCGGGGCAGGGAGGCAGGGAGCTTGAGTTGAACTTGCTGCGGCCTGGGCCAGCGTCGCTGCTGCACGCCCCTCACAGGCGTCCAGGCCAGGACAGGGAGGGAGAGACCTGGGTTCTTGTGGCTGTTCTGTCCCTTCCTTGGCACAGCCTGCTTCTCTCCCTCCCAAGGCGAGGACGGCCGGGTTTTGAAGATCTCAGCCGGCGTCCGGTATGTGCAGCTCCCGGCCTACTCAGAGGTCAGCTTCTTCAATGTGGACAAGGACGACCAAGGGACACCCATCCAGACCCCATTGTGAGTATGGGCGACCCTGGACGTCACCCAGGTGGCGTGGGGGACGAGGAGTGGCCCAGACCTGCTCCATCCAGGCCCGTCTCCACATCGCTCCCACACCGGCCAGGACCCCAAGGGCACTGGGCACACAGCGGTGACCCGCGGACATGCTATGCTCGGTCTAGGGAACAGGAAGCAGTGGGGGCCCGGCAGGGGACTGGCAGCAAGGGCTGGGACTACAGCGAGGTATCACGTGGTCCCAGAAGACTCTCCCCGCCCTTCCTTCCCACCATCTTAGTCTCAGAGTGGTTGCCTCCGCCCCTCCTCCTCCCCAGAAGGGCCCCCAGGCCATCGTGTCCCCCTCAGCCAGGTGACACCCTCAGCTTAGCATCCAGCAAAGCCCAGTCCCACCCATTCCCTCCACAGCGGGTTTGACTGCATGGCCTATCCTCTGTGGAGTCCCAAGTCTGGGGGCCAAGAGCCCAGAGCTGCGCTGGAAAGTACCGGAGACCCGCGGCTCCCCACCGGAGACCTGAAGCTGGCACCGGCATCAGACGCGTCTCGCGGCCAGAGGGCCATCCCTAGTGGCCCTGCGGGTGAGTGCCGTTAGCCGGCTGGTCCGCAGTAGTTGGCATGAGCGCTTAGGGGCGTGTGGAGTGACAGCAGGTGCGCTGGAACCTGGGCAGGAGGAAACTAAAGCCTTGAGAAGCCAGGCATGGTGACCCTGGAGGAGACAGACCATGCCAGGAAGATGGGGCCGGGCCTGAGCAGGCGTCCCTCTGCAGGGCCAGCCCCCATCGCTGTGGGCTGAAGGGCAGGCTGGGAGCTCCCTGTCCTGGGCATCCAGGCCCCTCGCGTGCAATCCCAGTGCCACGGTAGCATTGGGAACAAGCAGTCCCGGGGCCACCTCAGGGGCCGTCCTGCAGTCTCCACAGGCACATCTGGTCATCGCCATCAGTGTAAAATGAGGCGGTTTCATTCGCACCAGGAGCCTGGTGGGAGAGTGCGGACCCTAGGCTGGTGGGCTCAGGGCTGTTTCTGCATCTGTCAGACTGAGGGCTGGGCCCAGAGGCAAACCCACCAAGGCCACTGTCCCCAGGAGGCTGTGGTCAGCCTGGACAGGACACCCGAGTGTAGGAACCGGCCCTTGTGCCCCCACCGCCCCCCCACCAAGGTCAGCCACCATCTGCAGCCCTAACGGTCCTGCGGGTTCACCTGGTCTCTGGCTGCTTCCATGCCTGCTCAGAGCGCACAGCATCTCCGCATGCCCTTGGCTCCTGGTGCCTGAAAACCTGCAGCCATGGAGGGCCTGGCCTGGCTTTTCCGTGGATTATTCTGAACAACTCCCAGAGAGCGAGTGCCGGAGCTCAGGATGTGAATCCAAGTTTCACGTCTGCCATTCACTGTGCCCGGGCCCGCGGGCCTCCCACACGGCCTGATGCCTGCAGTCCCACGGCCTTCCTCTTGCCGGGGGGGGGGGGGCATTTGCGTCACCCACGGCGTCCCAGCCGAGCATGGCCGTGGGGTCCCACCTGGTCCCCTGTGCCCACCCTCGCCTCAGGAGCAGCTGCACCAGATCCTTGGGGACCACAGCAAGCTCAGTAAACGGAGCTCCGGGGTCCCCATCAGGCAAATTCACGTGCACGTGAGCTGTGGGGGCCTTCACGCGCTCCTGGGCCCTTTGAAGAGGGGCCCATCCCCGCAGTTAGGACCCCAGCCCTGGACACCGCGTGCGAGTACTCCTGAGTCACAGAGCAGGACGGGCGGACCTGGAGTGCTGGCACAGGGCCCATGGCTAGACCCAGGCCTGGGCTCTCGCCGGGGGGAGCCCCATGCCACAGGGGTTGGGGGGAGTCTTGGGGGGCCGCGACCTCTGGTCTGCTTCCAGTGCAGTTTACGGAGGCAGTTTTACACTGCAGGGCTTAAGAGTTCTCACATTTCCACATAAAAATACTCGCTGGGCCCCTTGCTTTCCACTGGGAGGGATTTCGGAGCCTCTCATGAGGTCTCCGTGGAAACCAGGCCCAGAAAGGGGGGCCTGTGTCTGCTCCTTGACGTTTGGTGCAGGCGGCCCCGGGCCCAGCCCTCTATAAGGGTTTGGGGTGCTTGCTGCTCGGGGAACGGGCCTCACCCCATGCTCGGGGGGCTGGTGTTGGGCTGCTAGCACGTTCAGAGATGTTTCCAGCTTGGCTAGGATGGGGGTGGGGCGCCGCAGAAGATGGTCCTTGGGGAGACCAGGGGGAGCAAGTCTTTGGTTTTGGGAGAGCCACTCGGGTTTGAGCTCTGCGGGCATCCCAGTGGCCTGCTGGCAGGTCTGCGGCCGAACGCCAGGTCCCGGGTCCTCGGCTGGTGCGTCTGGGGCTGATGCCAGACGTGGGGCTGATGGTTCTCTGCCTTTTCTGGCCAAGCTTCTCTGTACAGGCCTCCTCTTCTATAAAGTGACCAGGGGCCTCTGCCCCCAAGATTGCCAGTCCCATGGCGGCCCCTCCTGTCCCCTCACAGGGTGGCATGCCGGCGACGTGCACACCTGCCCACGGTCAGGAAGGGTCCCCCGTGCCGCTGCGTCTCTTCTGAGGACCAGTCCGCCCCCAAAAGCTCTGGAGGACACTCGCACTGACAGTGCTTGTCCCCGTAGCTGCCCCAGAGCTCCCCTCGCCCCACTGGTGCCCAGGCCCTCCGGACGTGTTGGCAGCGAGCTCAGGTCTGCTCTGGGTCATGGACACACAGGCCGGCCGGCTGTCCTCTGGTGCCTTCTGCGAACGGCGATGAAGCCATTGCATAGGTCAGCTCTGCACGGGTAGGTGGTGGGGATCAGCGTAAATAAGAGAAAAGCCCAGGTGATAACGGTGTGACTAACGGTGAGGGCTCGTGCTGTGTGGGGTCTGGGAGGCACTAGCTCAGCGGGGCGTGAGGCCCTCGTGCCGGCGGGACACCCAGAAAAGACCTCAGGGGGACGCAGAGCTGCTTGGGTGGGAAGTAGGCAAGGCTTTTTTTTTTTTTTTTTTTTTTTTAATGAAGTGGCTTATTCTGTCACTACATGGGGATAGTAGCAAGTTCTCTTGATCGTTATCTGGAGAGACAGCAAAAATGCGACAGTCCGTGGCAGCCCCACACGTATGGGGAACATATGTCGGGGCCCTTTCCTTCGCATGAGTGAAGATCTGTATTCGCCAAGGCAAGCCGTGAACTGCACAACTCCCCCTTACCCCTGGCCTGGCACAGAGCTTTCTTGCGTGGCTCCCGGATCCCGCCTCCCTTCCTTCCGCCCGCCAGACCTTGACCGAGGACCCCCGAGCCCCACTCAGGCCTGCACCGAGCAAAGGGGTTCCAGCCAAGGGTTACTGCGTCTGCCTACCTAGGTGACAGTGTGCCAGCCTCGGGCTGCGGAGCAGGGCACCTGCTGAGGCCGCCATGGGTGCTGGCCACACACATTTGGAAGCTCGGGGAGCAGCCACTGGCGACACCCAGCCTCCAGCCAGGACACGTGACGGGCCTCCCAAGTGCAGGGCAGAGACCACAGCCGGGAGGGTTTCAGGCAGAGAGATCAGTCGACACAATGCCTAAAACAGACCAGGGCCAGAACATCTCCCAGGTGACTGTCCCTCTCGAAGCTACTTTCTGTGGCCCCCGAGCAGAAACGTTCTCCCAGCACACAGACTCCAAGCCCGGGGTTTCTCTCTCAGCCCCGGGTCACAGGCGGCATTGGACGCCCTCCCACGACGGAACGCACGCCACCGCACAGGCAGACATGAGCCCGGCTCTCGCTGAAGCCTCATCCCATGGCGGCAGCCATGCTCTTGCTGGCCAGGAGCAGCCCTCCTTCCAGGTCCACACTCCAGGCTCACGTGAGCGCCCGCTTCTGACCGCGGTGGGGGATTCAACTCCACCAGTATTCACTTCTCACGTGGAAGTTCCATGGCGGGGCGATGGCCCCCGGGATCACCAGGGATCCCTATTCCCATTCCCTCTTCTTCTCCGTCGTCCTTCCTGCACCTCGTGGTCCCAGGGGGCTGCACAGGCACCAGCCGTCACACCCCTATTCCAGACCCCGGGAGCTAGAAGCAGAAGGAGCACAGGCCTGCCCTTCTAATAAATGCCCCTTCGAAGACACCCACCATCACTTACCCCTCATTGGCCAAAACTTGGTTACGTGACCACACCGGGCCACAAGGAGACAAGAGATGCAGTTTGCCAGCCAGATTGTTATCCGGAGCCGGGGTGGGGGGATACTTTGTGTCAACCAGCCATCTTTGCCTGAGGGTGTGGAAGCCACCGGAGCAGACCCGCCATTGGCTTACGTCTGAGAGCAAGGCCCTGGGCCTCCCGCCACCTCCAGGGATGGACGAGGCGAGTTACGCCCCCTTCATCTGTTTGTAGGAAGCCCGCCGTGCCCCTCAAGCTCGTGCCCCGTCCCACAACCAGGCTGTAAGGCAGTGGTCAGTGGGTTTGGTAAAACCAGGCCTGGAGGTGAAGAAGTTCAGCCTGTTAGACCAGCGGGAGGTGTGGGAGATGGGGTCCCCCAGCCTCAGGAGCGGCTAAGGGCACGGGGAGCCGCGGCCCCGTGGCGGGCTGGCCAGTGCCGACAGCCCATACCCTGCCCTGCTTCTCTGCCTCAGGGTTCGCTCACAGTCGAGAAACAGTGCGGGCAGCCCCCTAGCGCTGGACGGGGGTCCCCTTCCCTAACCAAAGGGGTGGGCAAAGGCAGGGCTGGGGTGGGGGTGCTGGCCACCAGGTCTGCCCCCCAAGCAGCCTTCACGCAGGGCCCGGCATCACAGGACCCCTGGCGGGCCTCCCCTGCAGCCTTTGCCCCTGAGGGTGATGCTGGGTGTGGGCTGGGAGGTCCCCCAAGCCTCCCAACCCGGCCCCGCCCGCTGTGCTCTGGCAGCCAAACTGGAAGGGTGCACCAGCTCAACGCTCAAATTTTCGAGGACTTCAGGGTTTCCATTCTCAGCGGCCAGAAGGGTGGGTGCCCAGGAGAGGAGGGAGGGAAGGGGCTGAAGCCGCCCTACAGGGAGGGAACTGCCGTGGAACCGAAGCGGAGGGGGGCGGCGTCTAACACAAGCACGTGTCTGTGTCTCTACACGTTCTTGAGCTCGTGTGCCAACACCGGTGGGGGGGGGCGGGGGACATGGAGCACAGTCCCCGGCCAGCAGAGAGGCACAGGGGGACCCCGCCTGCCCTGCCCCAGCCCCAGATTTCCCCAGCCACGTTTGCCTGGCCTCTCTGGTCACTGAGACCGTGGAGCTAGACACTGGCACCTGCCAGCGCGCGGCCGTCGCCCACACCCCGCGCCCCACAGGGACCTCCTTCTCGGCCCTTTTCTCACCCACCCAACCCACAATTAAGAAGGTAAACACTCTAAAACCTTGGTTTCCAATTACGCAAATAAGTAAAATGAAGAGAGAAAACGCTCTCTCCAGAGGCCTCGTGCCAGTCATACACGGTCGTGAAAGTCAGTATTTGATTATTTTGTTGATGTGAAATATTTCAGTCGCTGAACTGTGCTAGCTCTCGAACAGACGAGTTGCCTTCCGTTGAGAA